TAATATATATATATATATATATATAATATAATATAATATAATATTTCATATAGAAATATGTTTAAGATATGATTTTTTTATGATAAAAAATACATTAATTGTTGTTATTTCATAATAAAAAATATACTAATTATATATACCTTAAAAGGTTTTTCTTGTGTATGAACACGCAAATGACGAATCAGATCTGATGGTTTCTTGAATTCTTTGTGACAAAAAGTACACGCGTACCATCTTACATTTCCTACGCATCGTTGTTTTATCGTCAAATATTTTCTAGAAGAATGATTTGGAAAAAAAAAGGAAAAAAATGATATCAACTTTTTGCATAAATTATTTTTGTACAAATGTAAAAATATATTGGGTATATAATGGATTACCTCGTATCACCGTCCGGTGCTCGATCCAATAATGTGACAAAATTAACACGAGCTCCAAATTTTTTTGCTTCTGATACACCTTTGACAAATAAAATTTATAAATAGCGAAAAATAATTTTACAATTATCTTGCAATTTATTATTAAAAATAATTCATACTTTCGGAAATAATTTTATTTTTACTGGATAAACCACTATTTTTTAATGCTTGTTGCAGTATATCTTTCTTCGACACATTTTCTGATAATAAACAAGATTGGAAATTTGATGATTCCGTAGTTTGATGCGTTTCAGATTCCAAAGATGCTAATTGTGTAATAACGTTATCCACGGTTGCACGTATATCAGACTCCATGGTATCAGTTGGGAAAGTATCATCGTTAACAGCATCGTTCACATTTCCCTAAAAATTTCATATACTTTATAATACATTTTAATAATATAAAATAAGAAGATATAATATGAAGTGTCAGATAACTTATAATAATTTACCTCATTTATGTCGGTATGCATACGTTTCATGTGACTATTTAAACTACCAACCTTTTTAAATACACATGAACAATAATTACATTTATATATAGGTTCTCCTTCTGGGATATTATGAACTCTCATTATATGAGCATTTAAATTACCTACAAATAGATATATATTGATGTATAAATAATTATAAAAAAATACGCATAGTTTTACAATATTAGTGCTATATATTGCAAATAATAAATATTATAAATAATTTTTATGAAAAATTTTACCTTTTTGACTAAATTTGGCATTACAAAATTCACAAGCATGAGGTCGAATACCATTATGTTGCCATGTATGAATTTGCAATGAACTTTTTTGCGTGAATGCACGACCACATACTGTACACTTTGAAATCGAATAAAAATTAAATTATTTATATATTATGTACTAAAAGATATAATAACTAAATTAAATTAAAATTATTTTAATTACTTTAAAGGGTTTTTCACCAGTATGCACTCTAATATGCCGCATTAATTGACTTGGTTTTTGAAAAGATTTCAAACATATGGTACACTTATACATCGTTTTGTGTTTTGTTCCCTTTTTTGTCTGTTTCACTACTTTTGTCTGCAACTAAAGAAGGAATCGAAATATAAATTATGAAAACATCGTCACGATAATCATAATTACATGAACATGCTTATCATTGATAATATCTTACCCTATAATGTTCACGAATATGAAGCCTGTACAAAGCTGGTTGACTAAATTGTTTATTACATAATTTACATTTTCGCATTTCCTCCATTGCCCATTTTTCCCCATGAAGTTTTAAATGTGCATCCAATTGAGTCTATAATATTTAAGATTAAGATTATATTATATTTATCTATCATCACTAATATTCATATCATATTTATATTAATAAATTTTTATTTTTATAATTCAAAAAATTCAAAAAAATTATAATTTATACATGTCCTTTATATCTTTTGTTTTTACCAAATTAAAATAAAAATATATATTGTGAATAAATTAATTAATAATAATAAAGTCACTATTATTAGTTAATACTGACTTTTGTGGAGAAGGCATCTTCACATTCTGTACAGAATAAATTTTCTTCTTTTTCATGTAATAACATATGAGATTTCAAGCTGGCCATTCTTGCAAATTTTTTTCCACATTCTGGACATTTTGGTTCACCTGTATTATGCGTTGCCATGTGTAAAGTAAAATTTGACTGCAACAATAGTATAAAATAAAAAATAAGATTTATATTACATTATATTCGTTATATCTCGTTAAATAATTTTTCAGTATGAAAAATGTTGTATAAAACATTGAACAATAAATAAAATTATTATTACCGGTACATTGAATGATGCAGAACATTTTGGACACCGATGTGGTTTCTCTTCTGCATGATTTTCCATATGTTTTCGATATAATGTTTGTTTAACAAATTTTTGATGACAAATTTCGCATGTTAAACTTTCCGAATTCTGTGATATAAAAAAAAAAAATTATTTATTTATTTGAAATCAAATAAACCAAAACAGCTTATAAAGAAATACATTTATGCGATGAAAAATCTACTGCTATACATGATTTTTAATCACAGAAATGTAAAACATAAATTTAAATATTGGATTAATTACTTCTAAATTTATTTTATTTTTCTTAGGCCTTCCAAGATTATGTTTTTTTACAGTTACATTTGCTGTATTTTGTTTACAAATCTTTTCCTCTTTTTTATCAGCTAATGAATCATCCATAGAAAGAGACTGATATTCCTGAGAAATTACTTTTTTGTCTTTTACTTCTTTATATAATTTCATTCGATCAATATTATCAGAATTGCCCTCAAAATTTTGCGATACCTGCTGAAATTCTGAGTCATTGACAATATTTTCAACATTTATTTGAAAAACAGGCTGAAATGGTATATGATTCAAAAATAAAAGTTTCATCTATAAAAAGAATCACAAAATAAAAAAAAAGAATATACCGAATGCAATATTAAATTTCCATTTAGATTTTTTACATCGACCAACGATGAAGTTGTTTCATTTTGTTCAACAAGCATAACTGGAGTTGCAACAATTTCCAACATACCATCTTTATGTTCTGTAAAGGTTAATAAATGATAAGTTACAAACATAATTTTGCATATTTTATTGTTCACACATACCAGTTACTGCCAAAAGCGTTCTACCATCTTCGGTAGCAACAAGATTTATAGGTATTGTTTCCATATGTGGAGTTTCTGTAACTATATTGTGTCGCGTTAACATTTTTTGTATCATTTAAAATGAGATATGATTCACAAAGAAAATAATTCTTTGCATATAATCACACAACAACGAAAAAAACGACAATAATATTCAAAAGCACTAAACACATTTACAAAGATCTCTCATCATATTATATAAATATTTTGTAAAAGCTTTGACATAATTCAAATATTTGAATTTCTTTTCAAAGAAGCATAATTCAGTTTGTTGCCAAAAATGAACTTAACCTATACTTTTATGACGTAAGAGGTTAATTTCAGCGATAGGTGTCATTAACATTCACTAACGTCAATAAAGAAACATGAAAGAGTGCGAAAGAAAGAGGGAATACGCTAAAAAGGAAAAAAAAAAAAGAAAATGACGATAGGTATATGTTTAAATATAAAAACAATTTTTCAAACATAGAGATTAGGAAATGAAAGAAGGTAAAATGAGAAAAATCAAAATAAATAGATAATGAAAACATATAAATTAAAATATTTTTAATCTGTGATATTTCACTAATTTAGATATAATATATTTAACACAATTAATACAAAGAATAGAATATAATATATATATAAAATACGTAAAGCTAAATGAACCAAATATTATTTATGTAGTGTTTTATTTAAACATGTATCGAGGAAAATAAAAATAAATATTCGTGTAAATAAATTAAAAATTATAAAAAAGAATAAAAAAAAAAATGTATAAATATTTTCAATCTTATTAATTCAATCATATTATTTTAATTTGTATTTGGAGAAATAGTGAACGCTTCAAAATCATTATCCGAAAGACAATACTCGTACAATTTAGGTGATTTCGATATTGTTCTTGACTTTGACATTTGCATTGATAATAATTCATCGTGTGATGGAATAAATGATGAAGATGAATTATTCGTGATGGAAATTCTTTCGATACAATCATAACATTCTGCACAAAGACTACATTTTAAATTATCTGACGTAGAAAATTTTTCAAATTTATTCGAAATATTTTCAGTTGTCATGGAATGAAATGACAAAGAATGAGCTAAATTAAATGTGCTATTTGGTGATATATAATATTCGTTGGACAAATTATTATGACAATTGATAGTTTCATTTTGAATCTCGAGAGTTTTCAACGATGCATTGCTACACGCGATATGAGTTGAGGTAGAAATTTCTTTCGACTCGATATTCTTTGTAGTTTCATATTGTTCCTTTTCATCGAAATTTGTTTTAGAATGTATCGTTACGTCAGATATAATATCTATGGAATGTTTACTCTTATCGTTTTCCTGTATATCAATTTCATTTCCGTTTGTCATTTTTTCATTTTCTTGTACATTATCTTTGCCACCTTTTCGTTTCCAAAGTTTTAGGAAATTTTGAATAAGCAAAGTAACTTGTTCCCAATTAAACTCATCATTTTCTAAAAGTTCGTACAAACTAATCAGAGTGGCATAACATGTCTTTTCCCATATATCCGATTTAGTTGTAATTCGATCAATAATCTATCAAAAATAGACAAATTTACATGATAATGTTAATATTAATAATAATATATTGTAAAATATAAATTATAATGTATTAATAATACGAATTAAGATAAATAAAAGATGATATATATATATCATCTATATATCATATATATATACATATTATACTTACTATTTGTTCAGAAGCATATTTTCGTGCTTTCTCTGTAACTGTTTTTGGTAAACCAGATAATTCAGCTAAAACGATACCGTAATCATCAGTAGGTGCTACACCAGATTTCAATCGATGAGTATAAGTTAATCGGTGATGGCAATTATCGGTTTGTGATCCTTGAACATTTATCGTTTCAAAGTATTGACTAAAAAAAGATAATTTAAAAAGAAAGTATTCAATTGTGAAAATTGGAGAAATATTTATGAATAATATATAGAAAAATATAGATACTTTGTCACATTGAAGTATAAATCTCCTAATTTCGTTAGATTAAAAAAATGAGTCGCAGCAAAAATAAAAGCAGTTGTATTTAAAAGTTTTTCACATATAGCCCACGCGATTGAAGCACCTTCTTCGATGGCAGTACCTTTACATAATTCATCTAGAATAATCAGTGAAGTTGGTGTGATAGATCGCAAAATATATTGCGCTTCTTTCATCTAAAAGATAAGAAATTTAGTTTTTTTAGTGCAATGACAAAAAAATGTATTTAAATAAAAAAAAAATTACTTCTAGAGAAAATGTGGATGCATTGCATTCAATATCATCGCGAGTAACTATCTTGCAGAATACAAGATTTGTTATACGAAACATTGCTTGCTTAGCCGGTACAAAACAACCAAGTTGTGCCATTATTTGCAATAGAACAATTTGTTTAAGATAAGTCGATTTGCCACTCATGTTAGGTCCAGAAATTATACATAGATTTTTAGGTATCGAAGCATACTATAATAGATAAAAATAGATAAAAAATTATAATGTGAAAATAATTTATAATGTTAGATATCGACGAATAATAAATTACAATATTATTGGGTATGGGACTATCGAGACCGAAAATATCCATTATTGGATGTCTCGAATCAATTAATTCTAATTTTGAGCCAAACGATGGTCTCACGTATGTTGGAAGAGAACTGATTTGAGCTAGGGATGTTATTAGATCCAGTTCTGCGATATCCGCACTCAATTGAAATAAACAGCCAATGTATTCTCTAATGTTTTGAAGCAAATCACAAAGGAGTCTGTTAACGTACAATTAATAATATAAATATTATTTTGAATTAAAAACAAAGATCCATCGTTCACAAAAATTAGATAAAAAAAGATTTATTATGCCTACACATTACTCATTAAATGCAATTCCTCGCATGCAATCTTGCATTGTTGACTCAATGTTGCAAGCGCATTTGTAGTCATGGTATATACTCTTTTACTCTTTCGTACCTATGTATTACACGTGTTGTTGAGAAAAATTGTTTGCTAATTAAATATTAGTACACGTTATTCACAACTACCTCTATGAATTCAGATGGTGGATCAAAAATTTCAGCATTTGAATTTCGAGGTAATATCATTTGAATATGATAACCAAGATTAGCATTGCAGCTTAAAGATAAAGTAAATTTATATTTGGATGCTAAATTTTCCACCATAACTATCGACAAAAAGAAAAGAAAGATGATTTATTTCAAATATTACAAATATCGTTATTTTTCTCTAAAAAAAAAAAAAAAAAAAACAAAGATATCATTAATTTGATGACTGACTTTTCATATCGTCGATTAATTCGCAATAAGTCTGTCGAGCGATATCCAACAGATCATTAATTCCTGCTCTGATAGCGAAGCAACGTTGCATATTCGAGGATGTGTATCCAGTTACTGATCTTGCATCTGGATGTACCATTTCAAGAATCCTTTCTTGCATTAGTCGGAATTCCTCAATTTCCAATTTCTAAGAAAGAAATACAACAAATGATAAAAATTAATAAATGGATTGTGTGTAATATTCGTAAATATAGATGTGTAAAAAATTTAATAGAATGTTTGCAACGAACCTTTTGAATTTTGCAAAAAAAATCGCTTTCGCCGCTTAATAATATCTTTCCTAGTTCAGGTATAACATCTAATAAATTTTTCAATAATAAAACATAATTTAAATTTTGCTCCGCGTTTTGCACATTATTTTCATGTAAAACAGGAGTTATCGATAAAAGTAAAAGTCTATCAGCGCCATAAAGCCGTCGTACGATAGGCTAGAATAGTGTTTTAAAATTAAAAAGTTAAGATATTGATATTGATAAGAAAAGATATTTTTGAAAAAAATATATAATTGATAAAATCAATATTTTAACCTGAATAAGTGCACGTAATGAACGATTGGATACAAGCTCGCCAACGGCGGCTTGTCGTTCGAGAATTACGCGTTCTTCGCACGGAGGTTGAAGTATGTTCGCGCGTAAAAGTTTTCTACCCATTGGCGTTGAACATCGATCCAAGGTACCTAACAAACTCATATTTCGTTGACCACATTGCGACTGTACTAATTCCAAGCTCCGTGCGCTTTCCAAATCTATTGAATTTTGCATTTATATTTTCTATCATATTTCTCATAATTTCTTCTCATTCATAATTATTACCTATATTGGTAGCGTTTGGTGATCCTTGAAATTCAATTTTCATAGATTTTGGCGTGTAAACAATACGCTGAACATATTCGACATACTTTAATAGCGATGCAGCTGCAGCTAATGCATAATACCTGTAATTCATGTTTAAACGTTGTTATATAATTCGTATTTTCATAATCATTATCAATGATATATTATGCATAATCAAATTATTAACGTTTCAAAGTAACGTATACTTTTGCTTAATGAATAGTTCAACCGACGAATATATGGGATTACAAAGAGATTTTATTCGTTCAAATCCGACTGTGTCGTTGAAGTGTACACGAGATATTGCTGTTATTTCTATCTCAGAAAATTTGTCTATTATTAAACTGTACAGGATATTTCTACTCATGTTACGTTCGCACATCGTATCTGGCATCAAAACCTAAAATATTTAAAATGAAATAAGCATATATTACCCTCGAAGAATCGACTAAAAATAACGTAGAAGAGATATAATATATTGCATGAAAATAGAGATATAAATATATCATCCAGAAAGCATTCAACTAATTTTAAATTCATTAAATTTTATCAGATTTGTTGAAATCTCTACGATATAATATATCGTATAATACGAAGAAATTATATTCACAGACTTACTTCTATTGGATCGAACAAATACAACTTGCTTAACGTATTAATATAAGTCTGTGAATCGCTGATTTGACAAAGGATCAAATGTGAACAACGAACATTCAACGCTGCCATGCCAACTTCGAATCTCGCATCACCTCGGCCGGTTGTTAACGCTGTTTAATCGCATTATATTAATTAGTTTAAAAATTTTCTAAAAAATTTTTTACAAGCATAGAGAAAAAAATAGAGAGAATAAAAAAAAAATTTACCGAGAATAGTGCTACCAGTAACTGATTCAAACAAACTCGAACCTGTAGTAGTTCTGACACCTGTAGTAGTTCTTGTTCCTGATCTAGAAATTATCGTATCGTATGCATTATTATCATTGAAATGCATTACTTATGATCTTTTGATCACAAATTTTTTTCATTCAACCCTTACTTGGAAATGCAATTGCGTGATGCACCGGTTAACAAAGACGACGATGTAGGGACAATCCGTTTTTTACGTACTACATTTTCAAATTTTTTATTTTTCGAGTAACTCGAAGTGACAGCCGATTTCCAATTTTTCCCCAACTTTTTTTCCATATCGAATTCAAATTCTAACAAAAATATAAAAGAAAGAAAAGAAAAGAAAAGAAAAGAAAAGAAAAGTAAAAAATATAAATTAAATGGAAGGATTTAAGAAAATAACAGATTTATCTAGTTAAATCTATAAATAAAAAATTCAAGGAAAATAGAATTGGTTAAATTTATAACTGATTATTACGTACGAAGTTTCATTAACCGAACATTTGATTCTTGGCACAATCGTTTTCTCAATGGCTTTAAGGTTGTTTCTGTTCTTATTACATTCATATTATATTTCTGATTAATTTAAGAGTTAAATTTTCGAACACTTTTGAAAATGGAAGCCAAATAATATACTTCTTGTACTATCGGATGTTTCATAGTGCCATCTATGAATAATGCTCATAAACATAAGTACGTACAACAATCTGTCCATAAAAAGAAAAATTTCATTCGAAATTTCATCTCACATCGATATGTAATGCTACACGTGCACGTTAGAGCTATAGAAACGATTAGATTTGAACTTCTTTTGCCACTTTTTTGTTTTGTGAGAGATCTTTGAAAGCCGTAAAGAAGTCGTAAATTTTTACACTCGTTTGGAAATTATTAAACGACAAAATAAAATATGTCATTCTATTCTTTCTCCTTTTAAAAAAGCATGTACCTTCGTTCATTTTTCACATTTTTTCTCATTCTATTTGAAAACGAATGCAAGTAGAATAATATACTTGCCTGGTATAATAAACATTCGATTCTCGAACAATATGCTTATTTATAAGGCAATAATGTACATATTTTTTTGGAAATAAATATTTTATCATTTAATGTAAATATTTCTTTAAATGAAAAAGAAAAGGATTCAAGGAAATAAAGGGTTTACAGTATAACATTCAATTAAAATGTTTGATTGCTTTCTAAATAAGCAATATATAAGATTTATTTACAAATTCGATACCATGTATATCCATATTTAGTTCTTCAATTTTCAGGTATCTCTTTCGAATATTCAATAAATAATAGTATCACGATTGTTACGGATTTAAAATAAATATCGCTTTGCCATTGGCTTAAAGTTTCATTTGCGTACATACCTAATATGTATTTACAAGTTTAAGAAAATCTTACAAGTCTAAGATTGTCAGGCTCGTAAGCTGCCTTACGTGATTCCATGATTTCTTATAGATCAATCGTGTTCAAGAATGAAATCACAATTGTTCAAGTAAAAGAAACATCATATTTCGTTCGTCGATTAAATGTATCAATAAATCCAGTCTATTTTATATTCGTGTATATAATTGAAGGAACGAATAATATTCGTAATGGGAAAAAAAGCAACGTAGATCGTGGATATCGTTGCTACTCTACAAATATGTTTAAAATGCATAAACAAATGATAAATGTCAATCAATTTGATCGACACATCACACAGCCGATATGTTTAATTGAATATAAAACTACGTGAAAACATTTTTGCATTATTAAGAAATACAAAATCTACGGGTTATAACGCTTTTTTTTGTTGTAGCGATATAAAGAGTGTACGTGCGTACGTACGTATATAAATATACGCTGCACGCATGCACACGTCACACACATACACGTACACATACACACCCGCATTTGCAGAGCATTCGATAATTTGTATAATTTATATATATATATATACGTTATATATACAAAAAATTGCACACGATCACGTTTTTACAAGTACGATACGTAAATAATTGACACGCTGCGATATAAATGCTTGATGAAAAAGAAACACGTTGGTGCTTTAACGAATTTTAATTCATTAATTAATATTTTCTTTTTCTTTTTTCTCTTTTCTTCGCAGTTTTGTTTTCTTGTTTCCTTTTCAATGCAATACTTTACATAATATTACACGTGACTCTCGAGAGGTACTTTAAACACTTTGGAAGCTAAACTAGTATCCGGTAAGGACTGTGGACGAGCATTAGTCACGTTAAAAACGACATTACTTGGGCCGCGAAAGCTAACTTCTATAAGAAAACTAGCATCGGTAAGGCCAATACGACCTGTACTTAAATCCGGTGAACTTGTTCTGAGTTGACTCTTCTTCGGTCTATACTCATTTTTAACTACTCTCTCAGCCTCGACTTGTAATTTATTATCCAACCAATGTACTTTATCAAAGTCCTTTGTACCGCCTACAGTATGCCTACGTTTGATCGACCGTTCGGGCATACCATTTTTTCGTTTTAATTTTGTCGCGCTATCTTTTCTAACAGATTGTCGCCTCTTGCTAATATTACATTCAGTTTTTTCAGTTTTTGTCAACGATTCTGATCGTTTTAATTTACTATTCGGAGAATCAGATCTCTCCGAATGTTTGTTCAAACTTTCGGATCGCTTCAACTTGCCATTGGTCGGAGATGAGAGCCTTTCGACAGAATGTTTGTTCAAACTTTCGGATCTTTTTAATTTGGACGAAGTATTTTCTGATCTTTTATTCAAAGATTCCGATCTTTTTAATCGTGATCTCACTTCAAATTTTGTTAGACTTTCAAATTTTTCAAGCTTGTTCGAATAATTTGAATCGACATCGCGTCGATTCAAATCTTTCGCATCATCAGCTACTTTGTCACTTTGTGATAAATTTACCGATGCTTCTTTTTCGATTCTACAGTATTCTTGCGTTTGATTCGTATCCGGAGATGATTCATAAACCGTTTCCTTGCTCGATTCAATCTTTTTTCGCGCGATAGCACTTCGATCGTTGTCCGGTATGGAATCGTCGTCCAATCGATCGACGCTACTATTCTCCGTTACCGATGAATCCGTATCCTTTTCCGGAGCATCCTGTACGAATGAAGCAAACAATAATATGGATGAGTAAGTGATTAAGCTAAACTGATCGAATGCACGTGTCTACGTGGCATCGATGAAAAAAAAGGTTATGCTGTATTTCATTAATTCATAATTTCAATAATTCACTTCGACTTTGTCGGATACTTGCATTTTTTTGCCGATCATATTGATGCTTTTCAATACACATTTTATGGAGACTCGGATCTCGATAACTTTCAATCGAGAAAGAAGATTGAGGAATGGTCGTTTTTTCCTGATCCTTGTCTTCTCGTAGTCCTCCTCCTCCTCCTCGTTGATTTCGCAAGTTTTGTGAATCTCGCTGTGTTATCACAACAGCATCCTCGTCGCTTAAGGACAAATTTTCCATTGTGGTTCCACGAATCGTTTGATTCGACGAGTTTACCAGGGATCTCCATTTACGATCGAAAGTAGTCGTCAAACTGGTCAAGAGATCACTACCTATAATTAAATCAATTCGTTTTAATAGAAACGATGGTTCATCTTAACTTATTATGGTGCCTGAATATTAATCGAAAGCGAATGACTCAACGAGAAACACACACAAAGCATCGAATAGTGATCGATCGTTCTCGACTACAAAATAAGGTTATGGTTGCGTTCGCGCAACAGAAAAACGAGCATCATATAACGAGCTTGAATCGTTCATTAGAAAGGCTTCGTTAGATGGATGAACAAAACAAACGGTGACTGCAAGTCTGATAATATTTTCATATATAACACTGCTATTGTTGAATTGCTTATTGCAAACAGCCGTTGCATATTCATTTAAACCTTTTATATTCATTTAATCGATTCCTCTTCCATACCTATTTATATGATACATTCAAATTCAACGAAACCACATAATTTTTAATCGATTGGCAAATCTCGATCGAAGCGAAGAGCAGACACAAAAGAAAAAATACGTAGAGAAAAACGTAGGGTAAAAACGCGGGAGGAAAAGAAAGGACGACGAACGAAAAACGAAGACAAATATAAAAAAAGAATATGAAAAATATAAACAATACGAAATATGAAAATTATTTTAATCACAGCCATTTTTCCTGCTTCACGTATTCGAGGAGACGAGTGAGAAGATTTCAAATCTTTGAAAAAAATATATATATATGTATAATAATTGAAATAATTTTTTTTCCACCGCGTATATTATATATAATAATAAATGAAATATCTGAAATTTAAAATATTAAAAAAAAAAAAAGGAAAAAACAAGTGAAAAAAATGAGAATAAAAGGTGAAAAATAAAAATGAAAAAATATTAAAAGAAAAAATATTCTTAAGACAAAAGTGATTTTAAATATCGATATGAAATAATTCAGCAGCGAAAGAAAAAAAAAAAAAGATAAAACGAATATTTAAGTGGATAGATAGGCAAATAGCAAACAAGCAGGCACGCAAGTAAGCAGATAGATAGACAGGCAAGTAGTAGACAGTAGATAAATAAATGGACAAGTGAATGGATATGGATAAGCAGGCAGGCATTTGCCGCGTTAATCAACCGACAGATACGTCGAACGAAAAAATCGATAAAAGTGAGAGAAACGGTAGATAAGATAATGAGAAAGAATGAAAGGTGAAAAGTGTCGTTGTTAAAAGTGCGTTGAGCGGAAATGAAGAGTGTAAAGCCATTCGTATAGCCAATCATAGTCGAGCAATTTGCGACTTTGGCTTTATTCTCGTTGGCAAACGAAGTAATTTACCTCGAAGAAATCTGTTTAAAGTCTTGGAAGACAATCCGGCCCCTGAGCCCGAAGACACCCCTCGCGGTGGTGACTGCTCGACGGGCTCGATAGGCTCCGAGAATTCGGAGGGCTCCGAGGCCGGTACTCTCGAAGAGGATGCGATGGGTGTCGATGATCGTTGCACGACGTCGATGTCGTCTGCGTCTGACACTGACCCTGGTACTTGCATTCGCCCTGGCATCGACATTGGCATTGGTATCGACATCGGCATTGATATTGGCATTGACAGTGGTATTGACATCGGCATCGACATCGGCATTGGCGATGGGCCCGCTGTCTTCGAGGCGGGGCCAGGGGGGCTTGCGGTACCGTGTAGGTGAGATGATATGTACCACCAGAAACCGGGATTTGCCGTTTGCCTAAGAGTGTTCAACGCATTCGCATCGTCACTAATCGACACCCCGTCGAGAAACATGTATTAAACAGCTTCTGGCAGTGACAAACGAGCAAACGATCCAACAAGTACAAGCGGATCTGCCTCTGCCCCTCTTCGATCTTTACACCTTCTCGGCTTCCTTTCATCCATTTATCGATGATGCTACTACGTGCCACTACTACGCCTTATTTATTTCCTCTCGACATCTTTTTTCCCTCCCCCCACTCTTTGTTTTTAAACGAGGCGCGCGTTTTACGAACAACATAGTCCTTTCGGAATGCGAAGAAAGAAAGGTAGAAAGGAAAAATGCGGGAGACGAAAGATATCTTACGCATATAAGATCAAATACTGTAATAACGCATGGTGGATATAATACACCGAGATTTTAGGTGAGATTCGTTTGAAGAACGAGCAGGAGGCAGTTTCAACGTCAAAAAAACTAAAAGCGAGCGATTAAGCACGCAAGCATATATTGCTTGCAACGAAAATTCTTGTGGCTATCCAATGAATAGCTTCGTTTCTCTTTTCGCTTTTTACTATACTCGTCGTCTTTATGGTAACATGCAGGTGCGAGGAAAAAAATTTTCTAACGAAAATAATCGAATAAATTATTTCAAAATAATCGAACCTATCGACAATAAAGAAGAAAGACAAAAAAAGAAAGAGAGAGAGAGAGAAAAAAGGAAATACGATTAAATATGCACATTGAAATTTTTTTGAACGATGTCATGACTGATCGACCAATTTCAAGCTCGATTTAAAGCTCGATATTCATCAGGATACATATGATTGAACGCATGCACGAAATATAAAAAGAAGATCACTTTGGATATGGTATGATTTAGAATATTATAAATAAACGAAATAGAAGAGAATCTCATAATAACGTGCTTAATACAAATATGTAATGTATAAAATGCAATGTATTATTGCACGCTTGAAAAATATTTTTGACAATTGATTTCTCGCGAAAATATCTGAAAACGGAAGAAGAAACGATGATGATACAAAAAAAACAAAACTAGGAAGGAAGGAAGGAAAGAAAGAAAGAAAGAAAGAAGAAAAACCAATAAGATTAATTTAAACAAAATAACCATATGCGTCTATCGTGCAATGTCTATTGGACAGTTGCTTGTTTTTTAAGATTATCCAAAAAATAGTAAAAGACAAATAAAGAATACCTAGAAAGCTTTTTGTTAATGGTCAGAATCTTCTGAGTCCATTGTAGAAAACAAGATCCAGCTACACTCACCGAGAGCGTCAGAAGCAACGTTACGTAGAGAAAAATATAAAGAGAATAAATACGTACATAGGATGGGACTATAAATTTCATGATAATTCTGTGTCGAAACAGTCGTTGAAATTGAAATTGCATGTGTCGCATATTCCACATTTTTCGATAATTAACAATATATTCACCAATATCAAAAAAAAAAAAAAACAAGTTTCGGTTCAAGTGTAGTTTCGAATCGGTTTCGAAAGAATAAAACATAGAATATTGATTCGACTTATCGAGATATTAAAGAAAAATAATTCTTGTACCCAATACTAACCATCGTCCGAGACATCGCTCGAAAGCGGTTTCCGTTGCTGATTGGTCGGCGAAAGTGACGATTGAGAAATTTCATGCGTCTCGTGCAGAGAGTCTAAGCTACCGTAACGAATAGACGATAGCGTTGAACCTTCCAATATTTGCTACAAAATATTTAAAAAAATTAGAAAAAATTACGTTACGAATTGAAAGCAAAAATTCGTATTTACGAATGATTCGAGGTATGCGAGAATAATTCGATGGTCGATAAAAAATTAAAACAACAGTTTCGAAATTCTCTGGAATTTCAATAATCTCGAATTACGAAATTTACGAAAGCATTGACCTCCGATCACGAGACGATTCAATTTGCTTCGATACTTTGCACTTCTCGCACGCCTTTATCATGTTTTTTTTTTTTTTTTTTTTTTCTTCGTTTATAGTCACGATATAAGATAAATGTGTAAACTTACTTCGGTATCTGTTTTCAATTTTTTTATAGTACTGTCAGAAATGTTTTCTTGAGGTAAAATCGTAGTAGATTCGTTTGCGAGTAACGATACTCGTCTAACGGACGTAGGTTGTTGTTGTACAGCTATCGAAAGATGCGGCACTCGACCAGTCGATCGAGAGCCGATATCGAGATAAGATTTATCGTTAAAGTTGGAAAGTCTCGTCGCGGATGAAAGATAAGTGGTAGGCGTCATCACAGTAGTGTCGACTATACTATCGAGCAAATCATCGTTTTCCATTTCATTTTTAGCCAATTGCCATTCCGTCTCGATTCTCCGCCGTTCTTCCTCTCTCCTTTCAGCTTCTCGTCTCTGTCGATTTTGATCTCTCTGCAACATTGCTTTCGTTTCCTGTTCGAATCTTCGTATACGTTCTTGAGTGGTTGCGCTCAAACCAGCGTACGTTCTTATCGTGATCTCGTCGTTGCTTTGCTTGGTGTCATTCGAGGCACTCGAAAGTGTCGAACTTGCGTCGAAGCAGCTCAGGCCAGTCTCGCTAGAGAGTCGGGACGACTCCGAAGTCGACGAGACGGTCGAGCGATGAATCGGTGATTGCATCGATGGAACCGACTCTATTGCACGATTTAAATATTTGTTTGACTTTTCGGAAGGAACGACATTATCGTGATTATTTAACACATCACGGTTGGTAATGGCGCAATCAGCTATTATATCATCGGTGCTAGCATGTGCAATACCATCGAGCGTCGGTGATCGATCGTCGGATCGATCAGTGGAACGATCGATGGAACGATTCGATTGATTTTGATTTTCGTGCATTAAAACGATTTCACTGACCGAACATTGCCTCTCGTTCAATGCCATACTTCGTCGATTTTGTAGATTTTCCGTATCTTGCTTCATCCTCGGCTTTATATGAAATGAAAACAATTGTAACAATTTAGCCAATACATTATCAGTTTAATTAATTAGAGATTAATTAAATATAAATTGTCAATATCGTTAAATATATTGTATCTCTCAAATCGAAACAAACCTTATCGACTTCGTGAGTTTCGTTATCCGTCTCATCTTGACATTTTCTTCTTCTTTGTATTTTTCGATTAGCAGCGGATATGATGGACGACACGATGTCTTTGGCGGATGCCATTTCACGTACTCCTATTTTATTTAAATCAAAATGAAATTCAATTATTTCAATTTGAAATGATAATGAATAATAAATAATATAACAAACGTGCATAATAATATAACAAACGTACCTTCGACTTTCTGAATATTGTTCAACAAGAGATTATGATTATTACTGGAAGTTGTTGTCTCAATCTCACTAGTGTCTGCTGGAAGACTAAGATTAACGCTCAATCTACTTAAATCATCCAAATCATCGTCCGAAAAGAACCAATCAACCTGAAATAGAGAGAAAAGATAAATCGTATTTCTGTTTTCGCAAACAATCATTTTTATTTGCGCAAAATTATTTTATTAATTAAATTGGATCTAACGTACGTTGTTTAGTAAGCTCTCGACGATCCGACATTGATGCGACATATCGGTAACCATAGTAACCATATTGTCCCGAGAACCACTTGCTCTAACCAAAGTAGGGCCGAATACGATGGCTAAATTCTTTGCTTCCATTTTATTAACCTCGCTATGCTCCACTATTCTTTTCAAATGAAACATTAAATATTTAAGAGTTGCGAAATGATGTTCTGGAAGATCTCTGAGCAACTTTCTTATAGTTGTCATTCTCCTCTGGGGATCTTCGACTTTATCAGCATCGATAAACATAGGATATAATTCTGCAGTAAGCAACGAATCCGGGAGTTGGCGAAAAAAGGACTTAAGAAGAGAAGATATTACATTTACGTCGCTCCATCTAGGATCCTAAAAAACACAATAACAATGAAAAAAATAAATAATCGAATAAATTATATTAATTAAATGATAAATGCATAACAAACGTACGTAACGAAATACATATAATACATTATTTTACCTGGAGATTGATATTTTCGAAACCTTTGTTCACGCTATCTGTTAAATGTGAAATAGCAGCGGTATTACCGGGTACTCTATAAATGCCAACCACTTCAAGACCCCTCGCTTCGACAATACTGGTACACATTTCGACGATCAATGGTACATATTCTGAGAAAGATGACTGTGACCACGAATAAAAAAAAATTATTTAATCATTTATAAAATACACGATAGTTTGTCTTGAAATAAAATTAAAAAATTACCGGTGGACAGAGTTCGAGTGGTACTTTAAAAGTAGCACCCTCTGGTGGTAATTGCGTGGTTGGAGATGAAGGAGATGCTGTTTGACCGTGCATTTTTCGTAACTGTTTTGCGACTCTACCTTTCCATGTCTTAGTTTTTGGAGAAACTAAATTATCCATCGTTTGACTCGGTTTTCGAGTCTTATTTATCGGCGATTGCCCGGTCGGAGATCTGTTCCTAAAGGAAGTTAATTTCTTGATACCTTTGTGTCCTGGAAGAGGACTCAATCGTTGACTACCGCTACCACTACTAGTCGATACTGTCATTGTTACAGAATTCATTTGACATGGCGAAGAACTATTCGTAGGTCCTGGTGTTTGTGGGACAGCTTGTTGCTTCAAAGTGCTATTTTGGGCAATTTCCTAAATAATAAATTAAATGAAATTAAATTATAATAGTTAACGTTACGGATATTTTTTTTTTTTACAAAAAAATTTTCTAAAAATCGCAAGCTTAAACTCTTACAGATGGTTTTTCAGCGGCAGCATGTTCATGTAATGCTCGTAACCAAAGTGCCATGGATGCTGCATCTTCGGTCTGCAGTAAAACTTCTGCGTTTGGATTGGCCAATCGTAACACGTGTTTACGTTTCGTATAATCCTCTGCGATATCTACAAGGGAACATCTTACATCCACGCTTTGAGCTACATTTTCACCGTCGCAGGCCAACGAAGGACTCTAAAAACGTTTGGAAATTACAAACGTTTGTAAAAACGCAATAGTACATCATTTTTATAAAATTGATCGGTATAAAAATGCATTTTAAAATACCTGATTTTGACGATCCTTGTAAAAGAAGAGAATAGGTCCACGAAGAATACCCCACAATTGTTTCCACGAACGATCGGAAGATCGCTGAAATTCAATAAATTATACGAAATAATAATGTCATTATCATGTACAATTATACAATATGAAATATACCTTTCCATCCAATACGGTAAATTTTACATGCAGAGGTCCTTCTCGTTCCATTTGACCAACATCTTTTACGATATCCGTGACAGCTGGTTCCCGATTGTTGCCGCTGAAAAGGTTAAATGTACTTTTTAGAAAAATTCTTTATATAATACTTATTTTCAATGAAAACGCATTTCTAACTCTTTCTCTAAGCTAATCGATGGAGCGAAAGGAACGAATAACGCGTTTCGACAAATCAACGATTTTCTTTTTTTCTTTTTTTTTTTTTTTTACCGCTTCACCGAGCTCTACTTCGAAGCAACAATACACCTATCATCTATGTAAACAAAAATCTTTAAACGAAAAATTAATTATAAGGAAGAATTAACACGCGGTTCTACAAACACGAACGATTAGTTATTAGTGATTACTATTAGTTAAAAGCAGACAAATCGAGCAATGAAGTTATTAATATGTTGCGATCGATTCAGAAACGTTGAAATGTGACGAGCACATAGTAAAAAAACGCGATGAAAGGCAAGATTATATTGGGAAAACAGAATGCAGCATCTTTGTGCTTTTCTCAACATGTACTATCCTCACCGATTAATATTTTTGTTTAAACTTGCAGATTGAGTCACTTCCTCGAAGATGCGACGAAGCGATGCTATATCGTTTGGAAGTAACGGTAGCCGCCATCTCTTATGAATGCTGAAAATATGGACGGAGGCAGAACTTGATGTATACTCGCGACTGATCTACTACGATAATACTATGACAGGCAAGTAGTCCACACTCCAAACAGCATAGGAAAGTTATATATTCATACGTGACAGAAAATGCGCAAATATACCGTGGATAGACCTAAAAGCTTCGTTCTATCGCGACAGTGATAGTCTCGAGGATTTACCTTCTAGAAGTATGAATAACAGGCTCGTAATCGCTTAATTCCAAATCACTATCAACATGGATTCTTTCGCCCCAAGTTGCTTTCAAGTAAGACACTCTTCTCGTGGCACGATCTTCATCTGCTATAAAATGATTATACATATAATGTATAATTTTATATTATACAAATATAAAATTATTTTAATAAAGAATTCATTCGATCAATATTAATCGATATTTCATATGCTTACCGATTTGCGTATTCTTTTGTCGTCTGAATACAACTTGGTTATTGTGCGTATCATTATCCGATGGTAACATACCTTCGAGATACAAAGAATATTTTAATTAATTGATTAAGGATATTCACGGTATAATAACATTTAATAAATAGAATGATTTAATTCTATCGAAATTATGAAAAGAATAAAGTAGAGAATTAAGTGGATCAATATTATAGAAAAACTAACCATGTTCAGTTTTAATGATTTGCGTGTAATCATCTTGTTGCTGACTTCTAGATCCTTTCTCGACAATTATCGTATTTTCGTCGTTAGTTCTAGTTGTATCCACATAAATGCCATCATCATTTCCATTTATATTACGCTTTCGTTCAGTGTCGTCCTGTCTTCGTGACCAATGATGCCTAGCAGTTTCTAACACGTTATTCGCACTCGTCGATTCCCATGATTCTGCGCTATTACTACGAATTCTCGATTGTACATGTTCCCCATCTATGATTCTTGGATTCGATGTTTCTGAAAATGTTACGTAAAAATTAACATTAGAAACATTAGAATATTTTTGAAATTGAAATGATATTTTTAATGTTAGTATATCTCAATGCTGTAACATTTTTAATTTAAAATAATCACATTGTACATCTACGAAATAAATAAATCTCGTGCAAGGTAACGACGCAACATTAAAATCTGTGCGATATGTATAAATAAAAACAGCATAAAAAAATAAAATATGAATACAATGTAAGTGTAAAAATAAAATTTGACACAAAAGTGAGTGAACGAATGAATTTAAGTTAGAAAAGGAAAAAGGATAAAAGGAAGAGGTGCAAGAGTGAGAGTGAATGAAAGCGAGCGAGCGAGAAAGAGAGAGAAAGAGAGAGAGAGAGAGAGAGAGAGACTGCAACACAACACATTTAACCAATTCATCTCTCTCTTCTACCTTCTAAGGTATTATAGTCGATCGGCGGTTCACAATGGATCTGTTTGCTGCCTATGGGAATTACTCTGTTTCCTTTTAATCCGCTACCTAAATATTCACAGTAGCATATTAAGAATGGATAATAATTGGAAAGGTGCGTATAAGAGAAATATATAATTATAATTACGTGTATCTAAAATTTTTCTCTGTGTTTTTCATTTTGTTTATTGTATTTATTTATCGTAATTTTTTTTATTTTAAAAATAAAACTACGATTAATAAAACTAATTATAATTAATAATTAATATAATAAATAATTATAAAATATATAATAACTAATATAAAATAACTATATATAAAACTAACTATAATAACTAATTATAAAATAATTAATATAATAAAATATTATATGAATATAATAAGAAGGAAAAAAGAAAAAAGTATAAATAAATAACTACTATAAAAAAACTCACCACTGTCCAAAGATTTAGTTTCCCTTGTCGATACAGGTGGTAATCTCCTTGGTTCTTGAGCTTCGGCTTTCGATTCGAATTCTCTTTTCCGAACAGCAACATTTGGTACGCTACGTTTGTTCGACAATCTTGAAAGTTCACTTCGATAAAGATTAGTACGATCACCGGTCGGTTCATCGTCGTCGCTCAAAAGTCGTCCCGATTCGAATTGTTTCGCTCGCTTCGACACGATTTGAAGTCCTTGCGGAAGTACAGGAAATTTATCATTCATCTTTTTCTCAGGCCCAGGAGACGAAGGTAAAGAAGAAGCGCCATTTCTCCCGTCTATAGATTGTCGTTCACCGGAAAGTAAAGCGCCCACGCTCGCTATATTTTCGTGTATTCTAGACAAAGTCCCGACAAAATTGCTCGATTTGCCTATATTTCGTTGTAATTGTTGCTGATGTTTATCGGATTCTTTCGAATCTCGATTATCGTCACAGCTGGACGGAGTACTTAAACGATCACATACGTTAGGTGTTACAATTTGCTGATGTATATATTCCAGAGGATGAGTCGTGTTAGAAGTTTCTTCGATTTGTTCATTACGGCAAGTATAATAATCAATTTCTTCTGCCCCATCGTTACTGCTCTTCGTTCTTTGAACGTTCTGATTAGACGAGGATTTAGGATCGGACACAAGTTTTCCAGGGAAAGTTCTGTTACTATTTTGAGCACTTTTCAATATCGACAATTGTTGATCTTGCTTCGAATCGGTCGGTGGCCAAACTTGTTTCTGAAATTTCTGCGGTCTCGCGTAGAATTCTCTTGGAATAACAGTTCCGTTGTTGTTGCTTCGAACAGGGGATTCCGATCTCTCTTCAGGTAGAAACCAACCGATCGGTTGGCTCGGCCGTCGTAAAAATTCTTCCTTTTGCTCGAAACTTTTGCGAAGCCTTGTCATGATAATCGAATCATCGATATTTCCTATATTTATCCCGCTAGTTGAACTCGTTCCACTATTCGTTCTGTGGCCGCTCAAATTTCCATTCCTTCCATTTTCGTTCCTACTTTCATTCCCTTCGTTCCCGACTAGAGTAGAACTGGATTCGTAAGAGGATGGATCGTTGGCATGGATCGAAGAAGAATCCCTTCTGGAATCGATACCGAATCTGGAACGTTGCTCGCAGGATCTAAGTGCATCTGTGCTAAGATAGCTTGCCGTTTCAAAATTATTAATCATCGAGCCACTAGTACTTCCTTCGCTGGCACGACGCGAACTGATTCTTTTCGAAGCAGGCCGATAAATAGGTACTTGCGGCTCCGCTCGGGATAATGGAACTCGTGTCAAACTCGAATGTTGATGAGACTGCTGTTGTTGCACTTGTTGTTTCTGTTGTTGTTGTTGTTGTTGTTGTTGTTGTTGTTGCGACGATTCTTGTTGATAATGATGATAGTGAGGAGGCGGAGGATGATAGTGGTGATGATGATGATGATGATGATGATGAGAAGAATGATGATCGATATTCGTTCTTAATGATTCCCCGAATCGAACGGGTTCGTATATCGGATCTTTGATCCGATCGTAAATCTGATCACTATTGGTTCTCGAATAGATAGATTCGGAACGCGTTCTGTCAAAATGATCGTATTTATCGTTATACTTAATATCAGATTGCATCGATCTATCGTATGATTGCATTAAATTCGATGTATCTTTTCCTAATTGTTGTGGCTGATTTCGTAATTTTACTTTGTTATCTTCCACCGACTCGTAACGACTAATTATTTCTTGAGAAGGTTTAGAACGATAAGTCATATTTTTAGCCGATTGCGTTTTATCGTTACTTTCAGACGATTGTTGAATCTCTTCGGAAAAATCTTGATCCCGACTGGAAACACCATCGTCGATCAACGGTCGAGTTAATTCTTGATCCTGGCATAACGGCGCGGCCATCGAACTTGGCGCTGAACAAACCCAAGATTGTCTTGTCCTTGGCGATAAACCAGGAATCATACTGACCGATCTACGCTGCCTGTGCCCACTTCTTTCCGGAGAACGTAACCGCGGTCGTTGATTCGTTTCAGGATTGTGAGCCGTCTCGCCGAAATATCGTTGTAAAATATCGTCCTCCTTGGAAACGACGAGAAGTCGTAGCCAAGGTCCTGCCTGTTGAATACGTTGAACTACTTTCGCATATTGTTCACCGCGTGTTGGTTTCCCGTCAACGGAAACGACCCGATCTCCTGTTCGTAAACCAGCTTCGGCTGCCGGAGAATTTTCGCGTACTTGTTTCACGAATATCGTATCCATTGGCTCGTCTATTTTCGTTCGTTCATGATCTGGTAGCATCTAATGGAAATTAATTTTTTTTTCTTTTATAAACAAAGTGTATCAAATTAAAAACGAAACTCGAAAGGGATTTCAATTACTTACGAAACAAGATTCTGGCGGATAAACGATAAAATGACGAAGAGTAAAGCCAAAACCATTCTCTCCACGCTGCAACAACAATGTTCTTGGACTTCGAGGCGGCGAATTATCTTGAATCGATTGATTATCCTTCGTTGTCGCTGTTGTGACACCGGCCACGATTCCGACATTTGGTCCTGTTGAAAGTGTCGACGCTGCAGGAAGTGGAGACGAACCATGTTCTATCTAAAAGAAATTTTCTTCTTTATTTTTTTTTTTTTTTTTTCATTTTTGAACATGTACTTTGTAAGTATGCGCGTAAATAATAATTTCGCACAACTAGTTTATATCAAAAATATATGCCAGGCAAAAAAAATTTCGTGGTTATATGTTCCATTTTGAAAACGATGATAATTTATCTCATAATCGTGACATTATTCTTTTCCTTATTTTCTGTTTTTTTTTTAAACGATCAGAGAAAAAGAAAAAAAATGGATATAATATGTCACTAATGTTAAATTTTTTGTAACAATTTGTAACTAAGGAATAACGGGAATAAAGATTAGCGATGAATTTATAAAATAACAATTGCAACAAAATTACGAAAAATTAGAGAGAGAGAGAGAGAGAGAGANAGAGAGAGAGAGAGAGAGAGAGAGAGAGAGAGAGAGAGAGAGAGAGAGAGAGAGAAATGTGAGAAAAAAATAGAAAATAGAAATTTAAAAAAATAATACGTTCAAAAATAACAATGTGTAAACTAATTTAAAAAGTTAGAAATATAATATATATATGCATATGTATTATTGAAAATGCTACGAAGAGTAAGTAAATGCATGGGATTAAAAATCTTCGTATTTAGCTTTCGAAAAGCAGTCAGCGATTCAATCTTTTCAGTTTCTTCCCTTTCTACGTCTCGAAAATGCGTTTCCCAGATTCGTTCACTAAAATAAACCGAATCAAAGTTTGGCACGATCGTTTGGTTTTACGTACCGTGTGCGCCTGCCCAACCAACCCTTGAGAATTATTTCGGTCCTCAGCCATTGTGCTGTTTCCTGAAAGATTGGAAATTAATATTACGAAAGTATATATCTTAAGAAATAAGAATAATAGCCACGAGTAATATTAAATCTGTTTCTTTTAATATTTCATATTTAATTTCGTACACGGAATAAATGTATCAAAAAATTTTCTTTTACAAAATTTCTTTTCATATTTAAAAGATTTAAAAAGTTAATATCGAATATGTTTCTCAATCTTACGTGTAATATACACTAAAATTATTATACGTACACGTATATACATACATGCATAGACATCGAACGGTTGAACAGCGAGCCATTCTACTTTCTCTGTAACGCGACATACTTTCATGATATAATTTACTCTACTTTTGTTTTAATTTGTCGTTTTAACATTTTTTAAAATACGAAAATAAAATATATGTTAATTTACAAAATAAGCAATTTGTAAATTAAACAGAAAAAAAATCTCTCGTTTGAATCTTGATTATTCTATAAATAAAATATTTTTCGATCTAAATAAAAGGTAAAACAATAAATCGTATTATATGTATTACCTATTTTAGATACAATTGAATATATCCAATACCTTTTGCTTATTCTATTCCAAGGAATAGAATATCCATTTCATGAATAGAATTTCTCTCTTCTATCTTATATATAAGTTTTTCATATTTAAAAACGTTATAAATAGTTTATAATTTCTTTAATCATTCGAAATAATTTTTTATGTCGGAGAAACCAGATAATTAAAATATTTAAATATATACTAAAAAATTATTCGTATTATATTTTTAATCGAAATATATATGAAATTTTTTATTTTTTTTTTTCATTTTACTTTTTAATTATTAAATTAATTTATGTTTTTTTTATTTCATATGTTTTCTCTTATTATTCTCCTATATACAATTAACTATAGAACTATATTTAATTATATACAATTTGTGGACAATTCATACTTTTCTTTTTATTTTTGAGTTTAATTTTCATCAAAATTAATTCAATATAAAAATCACTTTGTTCATTTCCAAAAATATATTAACCAATTCATAACTGATAAACTGAATCGTCGTTACTAAACATTGACGATTATTATGATAAGCGCGCGATTATTACGATAAGCGCACGATAGGAAATTGAGAATATAGCTTGCTGTTTTTCCTCAAGTATGTTATTTCGTTATAAAAATTTTTATAGAAAAATAAATATATATATATATATATCTATTCTCATTCTTTTCTAAATTTTTACATAATAATTTTTTGATATTTTTCTTTAAATTATGATTTATAATTGTAATATCGAATATTTTTAAAATATAACGTTTTAAAATATTCGTTTAAATCGTGATATGTTTTTTTAAAGAACAAAAACATAATCGCAATAAATTCAATAAACAAAATAATAAATAAACTCAATAAATAAAATATTTTAAATAATCCACGAAATTCGGTACATGCCTGTATTATATTATATATATATATATATATATATGTACAAATGTGTTTGAAAAATCAAATTGGAGGGAAGTAGAAAAGATGAACATATACTCTGTGTATGTGTGCGTAAGAAGGAAAGGCGGAGGAATGAGATAGAAAGAGAGAGAAATGTAGTTACTAAACCTACAAATACACACCTTAAGTAGGAAGTGTCGCGCTTCCAGTGCTCGCAGCGCCCCTGTCGTTGCTCCCTCGTTTTTCCCGATACGGGAATAAATTAATTTGTGCTATGAAATTTCGTTTGTCCTTTTAATTTTTTTCCTTCTCTCTTATAAAGTTTTTCCACACCGATTATATGCAGACGAATCAAAAAAAGAAACGCCAGGCAGTGTATACTTATTAGGATGCTCGCCATAAAAGTTATGTCGACAACCGACAAACTCCGTTTTTGTAGACATAATTATTCTTCTGATAAACGTCTTTTTAATTAAACTTTGATAAACACTGATGCATTACCAAACGGACACATGACTTGTAAATTAACAAAAAACAATACATTTATATAGCAAAGCCATAGTTATAAATGGACATCAGCACTCCAGTTTTCTATCATTTTGAAACACCAGTGACGATCTTTTCCCTCTAGCATGATGAAAATAAACAGCAGAACCTTTCAACAAACGCATCTCATGTCAATCGAATCGACGCTTCGATTCATATGAATATACTATAGGTTAATTAAAAAAGTTTGTACAAACCATATCTTTTAATTTCATTTTTAACTCTTGTCAAATAGAATGATATACCACAACACTTTTAACATATTTAAAGAATCTTCACACGAGAGTGTTAACGTATTTAATACAATATGATACTACTTACACGGCACGACACAGAAATATGGCGACCTAAGGGAACCCAGCACACTGTCGACAGTGTCGAAAGTCCATGAAGATAGTCGTCATTAGAAATTGAGGGAAAATAACTTTTATTGAATATTTTTATTGAGATATTTTAACACTATTTGTAATAATTTAATTTTAAAATTTTGAATTCGTGAAAAAAAATATCACGAAACACTATTTTCATGCCCGCCATTAATCTTAACTGTCTTCCTCAACATTTAACATTTTCTTTCTTTTGTACTCCCTCTTCTTTCCACCGCGGGCCATCCTCGCTTCCCCACCATACCGTACTCTACTGCACTCGCACTCTTTTACTCTACCCTTCTCTATCGTCGCAATTCTCGTCAAGTCTTATTTTGCTAAAGTATACATTCGCGACATCTAGGTATACGTCGAATAGTTGATTATGACGGTCAGAGACGCGATACAGGCACAGACGACGCGTATAATAGATCTAACATTCAATGCATTTTTTCGTTTTATGTATCAAAGGAGCTTTTGCTTTTATATTATTGTTATTTTTAACATTACCGATTGAGCATAGAATAAGATTACGATTATTTGTAACGAAATGACGAAATTTTTGAAAATTGTATGTCATGTAAAAGCACGAGACGAAAAACAGAATACATGTAACATTTTATATTTTATAATTTCAAAAGATTTCAAAAAGATCGAAGTGTTTTTTACGCCATCTAACGTGTTATAATCTATATGCAGTATTAGATACATCCGAAATATATACATCGTTCGAAACAATCAAATGCTTTATTACAAATTAGATATCGTATCGTATTGTGTTTGTATTATGTTTATTTGTGAGCATTATATCGAGCATTATTATTTTTAATACGACAATAATTAATTTTGTAAAAAATTATTTGTTAACAAGAAATTTAAGAAATTTAAAAATATACGTATATAGAGTAAATTATAATATAATGAGAATATTATAAATATTTTAGAATTTTTTTTTTTTATTAAAATTAACTCAAATATAATATCATCATAATTGTTTCTAATTATTATTGTTGTAATATATTAAATTTTGTACTATCAATTTTGAAACATTTTTCTATTATTATAATTATATAATACATATATAATAAATTATTGACAAATGATGATATATTTTTATCTCATTTCCATCTACAACGGTTCCACAGACACATATAAGCAAAAATATGAAAAACGAAATAAATAGTAATCATTAATATAATGTCCATCCAAAAATTAGTTTCATTAAAATCGTAGCGATGTAGAACTTGAATTCCATCGGTAATGCAAGGTAATTCAGGATCAGTTTCTTCACAAGCTAAAAATATTAAAATATCGAATGATTCGTTATTATTATCTTACATATTTATTTTAACGATTTAATACGAAGATAATATTTAACTTTTATACAAATGAACAGATTAATATTTACATATATTATGTACATCGTTCCATTGTAAAATTGTAAGCGCTTCGGTAGAATGTAATAACCAAGAAATATATTTTACCCATTGGATATATATTGGTAATGATCTAAAATATATTAAATATTGTTATTTTAAAATGATTTCATTTTGTGCACATATATATATATATTCGTATATGCACAATTTTCATTTTCGTTTTACTTTTTTTTTATTTTTTCTAGCTATTTGACGGTACGTTCAAATAACTTATAATTAATAATAAATATCCTACCCTAATTTGAGAAATGGACCCATAGTAATCATAAGAATATAATCGAATGGTATCAAGTAAGCCATTGCCAAAGGTACACTTTCAAATGCCGTTGAAAAAAAACATCCTAAAAAAAAAATATATATGTTTACATTAATGATTAATTTTATTTATATTCTATTTTTATTATTCATCTTTTGATTGTATAAAAATTTTTGATTGTAATAAAATTTTACCACATGCAGTCGATACATTTATGGTAAGTAGAAGAACAAGTAACGTAAATCCAAAAGTTTCGATATTGTCTCGCAATCCAGCTAACCAATATAGAATCGCCGTAAACAATAGCGGTTCTATTATTAAACCAGGTATCTGTAATATATTCATTTTTTAAATTATTTCTTGGTATAAAAAAAATCAAGAATCATATTTAATAATCGAAACTATGAACATTTTTTTTTTACTCACCAAAGAAAATATACGTGCAATATAATACAGATAAATCGGATACATTCCAGCTCGATATTCTCTTCGAAGGAGAGGTAATTCCTGCGGTATCAAGGCTAACGTAGCATACATTGGAAAAAATGCATTTTCAGATACCAGTATAAAAATAACACCTTGTGCAGCTTGAATCCCGAGTTGATCAAAATTTACAGCACCCATAAAACACAAACCACCGATCGTTGCGACACTCTAATACAACATTTTTCTTATATTACACTTGCGTTCTTAATTTACGCAAAAATGTTTTCATATACATATATAAATCACATCGAATCACTCACCACTTTTTGAAATATTCTAATTATTTGTACCGATGGATCTCTCAAAACTTGTAAGAAATGACGATAAATTAACCAGAAAAGTCGTGAACAATGTCGTCTCTTTTTCTTCTTATACGAGCTAGTTTTAATCTACACACGCACATATATTAAAACAATATCGAATACACAAGATGATATCGCTTAAAATTATTAAAATTTCATCGAACTTTACTCGTGTGATAAATTCAAAATTAAAAAATAATTCGTTCGAATGGAATAATAAAGAAAAAGCAAACGATAAATATTTATTTCTTTTTCGTATTAAAGATGCTACGAACACGAAAAAATAAATTAAATACTTACGGTCAAAGAAGATATTGAACTCTGTTTCTCTATGATACGATCGATTTCGTTGGAAGCTTTACTATTTAAAAAAATATCGCATATCTTGTGACCTATTTGTTCACCATCTTTATTTTTCGATCCCGTGGCTACAATCGCTATCAGGAAATCAGCAGGATTATATTTTCGCGGACATTCGTAGCCCTCACTAGAGAATGAATCACAGTTGGATGGAAAAAAAAAAGAAGACGAATAATTTTTTTATCGGGAATCTTACCTTGCAAAAAATTCTACCGCTTGATCGATTCGACCTGAAAATGCAACTCGACCTTCGGCAATTAATATTATTCGATCAAAAGAACTGAATATATCAGAACTTGGTTGATGTATGGTACATAATACTGTTCGTCCTTTTGCTGCGAATGATTTCAATTGGGAAATCACACAATTTGCCGAATGAGAATCTTGCCCAGTTGTCGGTTCATCCAAGAATAATATCTTTGGATCTGTCAATAACTGAGAAAAATCTGTCGTTAAAAAAAAATGGATCGTCAAAAATGGATATATTTCGATAATAAGAAGAAGGATTTACCATTTATGAAAAGAAAGATGTAAAATCAAAATTAATAGAAGGAGAATGAAAAAAATAAGTAATAAAACTGGAGAAAAATTGTTATACGTTTAAAAGAAAGAAAAAGATAAAATATTATAAAAAAGAATATATCTGTATCGTACTTCTGTAGCAAAAGACAACCTCTTTTTTTCACCGCCAGACAATACTTTGTCATCAATGCTATTACCAATTCGTACATCCCGTCTATTCGTTAAGCCAACATCTTTTAATAAATTGTCAATTTTTCTTTCAATATCCAATACTCGTAAATTTCCGTCAAGTTTCATTCGAGCCTGTATTAAAACAGAAGCAAAAGGTGAGATAAAAACCACATCAAAAAACGAATGTGAATGATCTCGGTCTCTTACCATAAACCAAAGATGTTCGATCACTGTCATTGTCGCGACAAATATATCTTCTTGATGCATGTAACCACTGTTCTGCATCATATAAGAGGAATCTATCGTCATTCCATTTGCTCGTATATCACCGTGAATTAAATTTTCGGCTACATATAAAATCGAAAAATAATTATTAAAAAATTAGCTTAATATTGGATTGAAAGAAGAATAAAAGGGAAAAAATACTCACATCCCGTGCGAAAAGCCAGAGCCGCTATCAATGAACTTTTACCAGATCCACTGAATTAAAGAGAAAGAAGTTAAAAAAAGAAAAAAATGAGAAAAAAAAAAGAAAGAAAGAAAAATTTCAATTATCTATATAAAATCTTTTCAATAAATAATCTTACCTTGCACCAATTATTGCTGTTAGATTTCCCGGTTCTGCTGCACCCCGTACTGAAATCGAACAAAATTTAACGAATTTCGATCAAATGAATATTTATTTTACAACGAACGAGTTCGATTGTCGAACGAAAATTGCACAACGAAATATTACACACCGTTATCGATTAATCGTTTGCGCACATTTTTTCGACCACGATCCATCGCATATACAGAAAGATTTTTCCATGTAAGCGTCACACCTCCCGTATCATCTTCCGTAAGATAATTACGTTTTTTACGAAACCATTTACCTTCTTTTAAAACGTACATCGTAATTAAAAAGATTTCGTTTTATTTATTTCTATTCCGAAGTGATCGCAAACAAGCAACCGAGTACCCGATTGAAGCAAGTTATACCACAAATGAGATTGTCGCTGAACCCGCCGTGATACGCGATACCTCTTACGTTCCCACTCGATCTATACCTAGGAAGTATACCGTTTCTCTATATTTCTTTGGTTGAATAAAATCTTGGAATGTATATATATATTATATGTATAATTTATATTATATTATATTTCAATATATCAGTCTAATTATTCGATAATAAATTTCGTATATTTTTAAAATTCTCACAATTCTATTATTATATTATAACTTGTTTTAATAAGAGGAAAAATATGACTGAAAAGGATTCTAAGTAAATGTAAATTTGAGATTAATTTAATTTCAATTAAAAAATCAAAGAAAATAAATATGTTCATATATGTTAATTGGGTATTATTAATTTGGTATATAATATTAATAATATAATATACGTATATATTAAATAAAACAACACGATTCAAAATTGAAATTTTGTCTAACGATAACGAAATGAAAATTATATAAATTGTATATATCGTTTAATATTGTACCGTTAAATAAGTAAAAGATGAAAGAAAACTTAAAGTATTATTAGTAATCGAAGATGGAAACCTTATACTTGTTTTGTACACGTAAGAATTCCTTATATATGCATACTTACGTGTATACATATACTATATTTCTTTATATATTTTTAAAAAATTATTTAAAAGAGTTTCATATATATATACTCTTTACAAGAATTAGAATTACGTTCTTTTCATTATGGCAATATATTTTATCGCAATATTTGTTTAATAATAAAAAATAAAAAGTTGAAGCATTTTAAAAAATAAGCTGTTAATTTAAATTTTTATTTTATTAATTGATTTAATTCAAAATAATAATAATAATTTGTCTTTCAAATTTGAGAATTTGAATTTATATTTAAAGAAAGATGTATAATATCGTTCTTTAATTTTATTATCGAACAAATATATACATTTTATATTATATTCCTATGTTATATATATTATTAAGTTTCGTTATTATTTCTTACACACACACATATATACTCGCATAGTATAAATAACAACCGGTTTTATAACGATATTTGAACCTACGCATAAAAGGGTGGTTAACAGAACAGCAATATACTTGTTCTTTATCGTTGTTCGCTTATCACCAACAAAATTAGCAGAAAATAATATACATCCATTACATACATTCGAATATTCGCGAATTCAATCGTTTATCTTTTCTCTTTCCTTATTTTCTTTCTTTTTTCATTTTTTTTTTTTTTTTTTTTACAAACAATATCAATGATTATGAAACATGTATAAATATACGAAAAAAGTTCAAATATATTTTCTTTACAATCTTTTATTCGTTCAAATGATATAAAATAATTATAAAAAATGTTAATACAATAATTCTTTTCTAATGTATATTTGTTTTAGAAATGAATGAAAAAATAAAAAATTTTGCATATGGAAAATAGAATTTGTTCAACAAAAATTACGAAAATATTTATTTATTCATGTGTCGTAAAATAAAAGAATAAATATAAAATAACAATAAATTATGGAGAAAAGTAACGTTATCCGGCAAAAAATTTGTGCGCGGATTTTGATAAGACAAAAATGACAGCGGTTATTAAATTTTTAATGTAACTTTTAATCTATCTTTCTTTTTCTATCTTTGTTTGTAATTGCCCCGAGTTTTTAATAGTAGAGCCAGAAATGCCAAAAAACGAAATGCAATAATTAAGGAAAAAAGGCATACGATATCCATCCAAAAATGTTCCTAAAAATCGAAAACGATAAATAAGAAGATAAATAAAAATTATATAAAATAAGTAGAAAAAAAAATATATATACGTGCATGCACGCAAAAGAAAATAATTAAATAAATCGAACATGTATTCGAAGCGAAATATAATCTCTCTTGCCGCGTTGAAACGGATATAATATCATAAATATATATATACATGTATTATATCGCGAACCTGTTTAAAATTGAACGTTTGTAAAACCATTCGACCAGATTTAGGACAAGTTGCATTGCTTCTTGTACATTCTATAGATTCTACTTCCGACCATTGATTGATAAGAAGAGCTTCGTTTCCATACCGAAACCAAGATAAATAGGAGAACCATTCAAAATAGAATGGAACGGATCTGTAAGATATTACGTATAAATTATACATATATAAATAATGTTTTGCATCTATATAAATAATTAATATTAAATATATTCCATTGTAATTATATTTACGCTGTATTTAAGAAAAATCCACCAAAAAGCAAAAACGGTATTATCACTGGTGGTCCGATGGATAACGCCATGGATAAATTGTTGCTAATGCAGGATATTAAATAGCCTATAAAAAATATATTTTTCTATTGAAAAATATTTTTCAATGAAAAATTGAATAAATATAAGTATGATTTATTGAAGAATTGTTCATGATGTATTATAAATAACATACCAAAAGATGTCGAAACGTTAGCAACGAGAGCAACAATACCAGCGGTAATGAAAAAATGATCGATTCCCGGATACAATCCAATCATGGGATAAGCAATAACAGTGAAGAGAAGCGGTACTGCTATAAAAATAGGCGCTTCTGCGAGCGTTTTACACAGAAAATATACATCTGTACGATACATGCCGTTTCGATGTTCCCGTAAAAATATCGGTAGTTCTGCGCAAAAAACCTGCACAGTATAAATGAAATATACATATACATATATATACATACATACACATAAATGGCATAACTTTACGCTTTATTTTTATATAATTTTTATATAAGCAAATAAATTTTACATTGATTACGGCAAAAACGTTCTGGAAAGTCATATTGGTGAGAAATATAAATAAAGCACCATTGATATTCATTACTCCGTCTTGATCTAATCGTTGATTGAAATAAACGATTCCCACCAATAAAGAAACCATCTAAAACAAATGTAGATAAATATATATATTTAGAATATAATTTATATCGATAATATATATTTTTTACCATTTTTTTTTTTTTTTTTTAAACAGTAATACCTACAACAGTCTGTAACAGACGAACTTTAATGAGGATAGGTTCTTTGATAACCGATAACCAGGAACGCCATAAAACTGCACGAAATTGTTCGCACCAACTTGCTTTGTACAACGATCGATTTTTCGAATATTTCGAATCTCGCATCGAATCATCGAATTCATTATTTATTGCCTCTGCTTCTAATGCAATTTTAATACCGTGTTCACTTTTTTGGAAGGCGTCGCATACAGTGTTTATCGCATGACGACAAGACGTTTCTTGTCCAGGTACAATCGCCAACATTTGAACAAAATAATCCGCCGGATTATAATTACTAGGACAAGCAGCGCCAAGTCTGTAAACATCGAATTCTTTTATTACTTAATAAACTGTATAACGAGAGTGTAGAAAAAGTGTAGAAAAAAAAATAAGAAAGCGAGATATATATATGGAAACATATATATATATATACATAAAATATAAAAAGGATATATATATATATATACAAAGGATACGTTCGCAACAATGTTTCTAGAAGTATTATTTATTGTGTTACTAGATAAGTACTTACGTTTCGAAAAAAGTGCAAGCTTGCGATGTCGTACCCATGAAGGCTACTCTTCCCTCAGCCATTAATAGAATTTTATCGAATAGAGCGAATAATTCTGAGGAAGGTTGGTGCAATGTAGCGACGATCGTTTTACCACGTGCTGAAAAATCATGTTTCTTATATTTGTATACATCCATCCAATTTACCATCGAACTCGATGTTACTTACCGGCTAAAGTCTTCAATACCGAAACTACTTGATGCGCCATAAAAGAATCGAGGCCTGATGTAGGTTCGTCACAAAACATCAACGGTGGATCGGTAAGAACTTCTGATGCGAATGACAATCTTTTCATTTCACCTCCGGAAAGACCTTTAATTCTTCCCGGTTGACCAATTACCGTATTTTTACATTTGGTTAATGCAAGCTACGAAACACGCAACATTTCTTGAAATTAATTATATACGATATAATTATAAATCTAGATATTTATTCGATATACCTCGTTAATTACTTGATGCACTCGATCGAATCTTTGCTCCATGGGTATTTTTCGATCCATACGAACCATAGCTTGAAACAAAAGATGTTCCTTAACGGTTAAAGTGCCAACGAATAAATCATCTTGTTGCACATACGCGGTTCTCGATGTCAGTATCGTAGAAGATACTCTTCGCCCATTTGCAGCCATCACTCCAGATGCAATCACTCCGCAACCCGATCGAAATGTCAAAGCGTTTAATAATGTTGTTTTACCAGCTCCTGATGATCCCATAATTATCAACAATTCACCTGGATATGCAACTCCGCATACTGTAATCAAATTTTATATCAATATAGAGATATAAAGTTTAAACAGTCGTTTCAATTTTCTTTCTAATTGTTCAATTCTCAATTAATTCTACGCGATAAATCTTTATTGAAATATTTTCTCCTAATCTTATTCTTTATTCTTTTCTTTTGATCCCGATCTTCGTTTTTACCATCTTTCAATAAATGTCTTCGTTCGATAGATTTTCTTCTTTTCAAAAAAAATTCCCATGGCTTTTCGTTTACTTTAGCGGCATATACGTTTAAATCGCTCCATGTATACGTAATTGATTCGTTTTCGGTATTTCCTGTGGAATGCTGTACGAATGTTGTATCCTTCGGTGTTATCCCTATTCTCGAATGTAAGATCGGCTTTAATTTGAACGACGATATCTTGGAATTCGATACTGCGATTCTTTCATTTTCTTCCTAAAAATCATTAAACAGAAATATGTAAGAGAAGCAAATATAAATTGTAAAAAAAAAAAAAAAAGAATAAAATTCTTTTTGTAAAGAGAAGAAAAAAAAATTATAAAAAATAATTAACTTATTTCGTTCTATTAGACATATATTTTGTGTTATGATTTTTATGTTTATATATTTTCGTTTATATTTTCAGAAACTACATTTTATAAAAATATTATTTCGAAATAATAATGAAAATAATCTTGGGAAAACCGTAAACATCGAGGAAGCCATATGATCATAATCCTCGTTCAAGCATTGAACGAAGCCAAAAGTATAATACACTCAAGAATGTATAATATATATTCTACTAAAATATTTCTACCAAGTAATATTAATTCACAATTTTGTGAAATTTGAAATAAATTCGTAATAAATAACACATAAGGAATTTAATTAAATCGTTTAATTGCTTACCAATGAAATCGCATCATATAAGATCGTTTGTGGTTTATTCCGACAAGTAGTTAAACCTTTCGATGATATCAAAGGTTCAGTTTCTTCTGTTGCAGTCATATTTTCCTTTTTTTCCCAGATTTAATTTCTTATCAGTTTCATCTATAATTTTCCTTCGAATTATTCTGCGAAACGTAAGTATCACCGAACATAGATATAATAAATAAAACTGCGATCAATCTTATTTAAGAGGCACCGAACCGGTTTTCGAACAATGATAAACAAAAATTGTTATTTAACACGCCATAAAATACGATAATAATTCCATATAATCCTTTCCTTTGGAATCAAGCTCTTTTGGAACAGATGTGCAATTTATTTATACGAATGTTGATAAATCCGATAAAAACTTCAAAAAATAAAAGAAGAAATATTATTCAAATAGAGCGCGCACACGTAAATGTTTCCCTGTTCTGCTATTACGTACAACTTAATGAAAATTGAAAACAATACAGTTCGAAAAAAATATTCGATGTGATCAACTCGGTTTATGATCAGATAGAGCTCGAGGTTCGAAATAGCCACAGTGTGCACAATGTTCTCGGATTGCAGTGGTCTTCCACCTCCATTCGTTGCTCCGTCGCTTCGTGTCAACTTATGTAATGCGACTCCAGTGATCCACGAGCTTACGGGTAACGCGGCCAACAACAACAAAGTAAAAAAATCCGCACGACAGCCTTGCACACGTAATTATGTTCGATGTTATTATACGTTATATATTCATTTTTTTTTTATAAATCTTTTCCATCCTATTTTTCTTCTTGTACATTTATTTAAATAATAAAAAACTGTGAAGTTACAAGTTATACAAACAACATTTCAAAAAGTTAAACAGTATTAAAAGTTACACAGTATTAAAAAAAAAAAAAAAAATTACAAAAGAATTTGTACTGTAACTTATATTTATATCACATTTTATTAATCTTATTTTGTTTTTTTCTCAATTGTTTTTTTTATCTTTTTCCTTGTTTTTTTTATCTTTTTTTTTTTGTCTTTAATAATCATACCTTTAACAAAAGTATTGGGATTTCATATTTCTACATATAGGTTTTTCAAGTAATGAAAAAGCAACGTGAAGAATAACTTCGTTTATTACAATCGATATAATAATATTTTAAGATTCGGAAATTTTAAGGATTATCGAGAATTTTTCATCAATCCTTCGAACATTCCTTATTACAATCTGGTAAAGATTATAAAGAGTGCTGGTAGAACGGCACAGCCACGATACTGCGATAATCTAATACGACGAGTGAAATGTCTTATGAGTGAAACATTCCTTTCAAAGAAATACTCGTCTCTGTTCTGTTTATGAGAATTTCGCGCTCGCAATGTCAACCAATGATATGTACTATATACGTATTCTGCTTCTATTTTCCACCCACCTATTAAAAATGTGGCAAAGAGGGAGGAGAGTAAAGATATAGCGTATGAATGTACAATAAAGAATCGAATGTTTGCATATGCGCGTGCGCGTAGTAAAAATGTTCAAGATAGAAAGAGAGAGAGAGAGAGAGAGAGAGAGAGAGAGAGAGGAGTAAGGGACGATAGTCACGATAAGAGTGCGCACGCGTACACGCGTTACTGTCGCACAGCAACGAGAAAGATAATTACTGGTGATCAAAAACGTTAGATCATTTTATCTTTCTTTATATCGAACGTATTCTTTTTCGAAGAAAATATCTATCATCGGCTTTCAATTTTCCACGTAATTTAAACGTAAATTATTGATGCGATAATACTCTCGTTTGTCTATAAGCAGAACAATCGGATTCACTTATTTGTTCCATTTATATTTTATCCAATCGTTCGTTTATTCATGTTGTTTTATTGTTTTTGGACATATTATGAGAGGCCCAATTTAATGAAGTTTTCCACGAATTGCAAAGAGCTTCATCAAATTTACTCCTAAAATGCTTTTGTGCCTCACTTTCGGACATCTCGAGTACCTAATTTCAAAAAAATTGAATTAATTTTTTAAATTTCTATTCAATAATTTTTTTTTTGTCATTCAAAATGAAGTGAGAAAAGATTAGAAAGAAAAATGATATCATACCAAAGTATCTCTTAAATAATTAAGATCTTTTTCCGATGATAATTCAGGTAATCCCGTTGATATCATCATAGCAAACAAGGACAATATTAGTCCTCCGTGTTGCCGTAGAACGAGAAAAGCTTGTTCACAATGACTCTGAAATCGTTGAAATTCAACTGCTTGACCTTTTTTTGTTTGACCCTTGTTTATTACATGCACGAAATCATTGGTTAACACAAAAGGTACACGTTCACGTCTGAATCCAAATTTCTCTTTAAAATGTCCAAGTATATGACCAAAATCAACATGAAATAATTGCCCGGTTTTCTTCACCATTATATTATCCGAATGTCTATCGGCAATTCCAAGAACATACGTAGCCACACAATAACCCGCGCAACTCAAAGTAAATTCCTCGATAGCTCTATTCAATGCTGCTTCGGTATGATTATGATCTTTTAGCCAAGCAAGCAAAGATCCTCGTCTATAGAAATATAATGATGATGATGATAACAATAATAATAATAATAATGATGATAATGATGATAATGATAATGATAATTATAATTATAATTATAATAATGATAATAATGATAATAATAATGATAATAATGATAATGATGATGATAATAATGATAATAATAATAATAATAATAATAATAATAATAATAATAATAATAATAATAATAATAATAATAATAATAATATAATGTAGGAAACATTTTCAAATTGGTAATGTGGTAAAGATGGAATTTTCTATTTGAATATACCTAAAAGCAGCTGTTGCCGAAAAAGTTCCCTTTTCCTTTTGGATATTTGCAATTGTTTCCGCATTTAAAACCACTTCGATCATACCGACTCTATTTTCCGTTGATATGCAACCGTAAGGATTCATACGTAAATCCAAACCCTCTCTCTTCCAAAGTTTATCCATGATTCGTAGCATCTGTAGCGTAAGCATATCTTGTCTCAAATCATCTCCATGTTTGAGTATCAAGTAAATATCGTCACCGAATGGATCGGCATTTTCAAAAACTAGCCAAAGTGGTCGCATTTTACTATCCATTACTCTACATTTTTCAATTCTGTAAATCATTAATTTTCGTTTCACAAATCTGTCATAACAATTATATGTTTAATATGGAAGCTTACTTAATGCGTTTCCATCGGAAACTCGGATCCAATGGATTTAAAACGTTTGATAGCGCATCTTGACAATGAGGTTCTTGAATAAATTCTTGAAATCCTTGTAACGCAGCTTTCCGATCTTTTCTCTGTTTTATTTGTTCGGAAGCACTTTTCAATTTACCCAAACATTCCATTTGTTTAAATAGTGACCGCATATGCTGCTGACTTCCCCTACAATACGCTTCTAATATTAAACCGAAGCGAACAGACACAGCACCCACTTGCATCTCTGATCTAACAAAAAAAAANCATCTCTGATCTAAAAAAAAAAAAAAAAAAAAAAAAAAAATAGAACATTCATAAAAGATAATATAGAAAATAGAAAAAGAGTAAATAGCTTTTTCCTTTCATCGAACTCAATAAAAAGATATATGAAAGAAAAGAAAAATATATATGAAATGCAATAGACGAAATTACACCAACCTAAGATGCCAAAATAAAAAATGACCGATTCTTCGATTGTTAAGCGCGCGTCTCAGTAGAAACTCCGTCAAATCGCAGGATAAATAATTTTCATGTTTTAACGCTTGTACCAATTGCAATAGATAAAGGCTCAAATCCTCGTCACTGACATCCATTAAACAACGTACAGCAAAACTTCGAACATTTTGATCAGCATAAGCATAATCCAATAATTCAAGTGCCTTTTCGACGGATAATTTGGGCCACTGTTGCACCAGCGCCGTAGCTTCAGCTACTTCCCTGTATACGTCGAGAATCGGAAAGTAGATTTAAACGTTCTCTTTTTCTATGAAAATGGACGATGTTAAAATAACTCCTATCGTTTGGTATTTCGAATATTTAGATTTTCACCTATGATCATTCCATTCCACGCAGTGCAACAACTTGGCCAAGAGCGTGGGAATTTCAAGAAGACAATGATGCCTTAACGTCCACATTATCTTTCGTTCTTGTTCGTGAAGCTCGTGTAATGGATCTCTGTCCGCTAATAATCGAAGTTGTTCAAGTTGCTGCTTACCAACATCAGATTCTTGATTAGGCTCTTCTTGAATCGAACGTTCGGTAGACGATTCTCGCAACTTTCTCGCGTATTCCACCATTTTCTCCGGAGTAGGATAAAGAACCGACTTCTCTTTCCCATAACTAATAAAAATGTATAAACGATAAACAATAATATGAAATTAATCGTGTATTAAAAAAAATATACGTATTATAATATCAAAAAAATGATGGAGGAGAAGGGGATAAAAGGGAAATAATTTTTTAATATTTTCGGGGAAAAGAAAAGAAAAAAGAAAAAAAAAAGAAGAGAAAGTAAAATGAAAGAAAAAAGTAGACTTACTTTGGAAATGTTAACATTAAAGCAGCCGCTCTATCTATATGAGGATTTGACACTACCGTTCCCAAAGGATGCAGAAGATCATCATTTTGCATATCCTCGGCATATGTCCACGTATATAACGTCATCGCTCCCGTTTTTAATTGTGATTTAAAGTCATATATAGTCGTGTTAGCCCAGCACAACGGATTTATAAAAAACTCTTGTTTGGTATCTTTAACTAATCTACGACTTTTCAATCCTTTCGCAGTCTTACTTATTTCATATAAAACAAAACACAGCCTAGCCATTCGCGGTATATCTCGTACTTTTATATCAAACTTTAAAGTTTCTTCCCATTCGCAACTACCGTCAGAATTGACGACAGTTTCTTTAGTCTTCTGACTTTCGCACAAAGATTTCCCACCATGAAAAAGACCGGCTTGGAGACCAATCTGTAGATGTAAAATTCAACATCAAAGAGATCAAGATTAATTCTTTAAAAGATATGACAAAACGAATAACGATTGCTTTATGAGAAAATGAGAAGTTTATACCTCAACGGTGCGATGAGCCGCATCGCAGTTTAATCGTGATATCGCATTGACAGTGAAAACAAACGGTTCCTCTATTTTCCAAGCAGATACATGTTTACCCTTTTTGCGTAAGGTTAGCGTGGAAAAAGACGGTCTTGTACGTTGCAAAGTATCTGCCTCTATATTTTCTGAAGTATTTTCCTGATCAACAGAGACGCTATCTCTGCTTAGAGTGACCAATGTAGGAGTAATATCTTTTGCTACGCAATCTTGAATATAACTAAACTGTATTAAAGGATAATCTCCTATTAAATATTCCTCCTGGCCGCAAACCTTTAGAGTAAAATCATTTGGATGTCCTTTGGACATTAAAGTGTTTGCTCGTTTATTTAATATGGATACCAATAATTGATATGGCGTCGTACTGTGCGATATTTGAAATGTGAAGGCTGTCTGAAATAAATTATAATCATGCGCAAATTACGAATATGTCTATTTAAGAAGATAAAATAACTTTTATTTCTTTTTTGAAAATTTTATTCTTTTAACGATTTTCTTCGATTTTTCTTACTTTTTGGCGGGAATTTGCTAACAGAACAGGAAATACGTGAAGGGAGAGGGGTATGACGATGAGTGGAAATACCGGGGGAAGGGGAGAAAGATAAAATAGAAAGGGAAGCCATAAATATAGATGTCTACACTTTTCATATATATATATATTGTAACTGTAATTGAAAGAAACAAGTAGAAGATAAGTATACGATACATATCTGTTGATTTTTAAACAAAGTTCATAACGATTCGCCTTTAAATTTGAACGCACGTAATAAAAGTTAACCTTAAAATATGTCTACACAAGATTCGATAAATACGGAAGAGTATTATATCGAAGAATATACGGACATACGCAATGATCGTTGCTATAAATTATTACAAGTTGAATATGAAAAATGTAAACAAGAAATTCATAATTTAAAACGAAGACTTGAATTAAACGAAATTATGTTGCGGGAAGCTCAAGAAGCAAATGAATTACTTGAACGTTCCCTTGAGGGACGAATCTTCGAAAAAGAGCAAGTTATTTTCAAAGACAAAGAAAAGTAAATTTATAAAATTTCTATAAATTTCTATAAATAATATTAACTTGTTAACCTTTTTCCTATTTTTTGTTTTTTATTTTTTCCTTTTAGATATCGTACTCTTACAAAAGATTATGAAAATACAATTTCAAATTTAGAAAAAAAATTAGCACAACAGACACAACAAATTGAAGAATTACAACAAAACGCTAATCAATGTATAAAAACTGAATGCAACACTGTCGGAGATCAATCTACAAATCTTTCTCTCGAAACAGATAATATTTCTTTAAGAAATCATATCGACGAACTTTTATCTATTTTGCGAGAAGAGAAAGGAAAAAATGAATATGCAGAAAAAATGATCGAGGAATTAAAAGCTCGATGCGATAATTACGAATACTATACTCGAGTGAGTATAAAAGATTGATATATTTGTTAAAAAATTATTAAATTATTATCAGAATATTAGAAATAAAATATAAATAAATATAAAATATTATTTCTATTGAATAGAGTATCAAAGAAGAATTACACGAAAAAGATCAAACTTTAGAAGAAGTTCGCGCAGAGCTTATTCTAAAACGTGCGGAGATAACATCGTTACAAATGGATGCTACATGTGAATCACGTAAAGGCGAGTATCAATAAAATTTAATTATTTTCGTTTAAGATTTTAAAAATTTTTTTTTTATACAGGTAATTCACTCTTTGCTGAAGTAGAAGATCGTCGGCAGAACATAATGAGTAAAATGAATGTATTACGTGAGAAATATATAGAATTAAAACGCATATATAAATCGCAAACTGCAGAACTTAAAATGTTAAAAGCAGAACGTGTTGCAACGTTTAGAAAATGGGAAAATGATACAAATCATATATCAACGGAAAATGAGGAGTTAATTCAAAAATATAAAAATAGAATATCGGATCTCGAAAGTAAATTGAAATGTGAAATTAAGAAGAATGATTCAAGACAATTAGATCGTAGCGACACATCTTTCGGGTATAAAATGAATTATATATATATTAATAAAATCTTAGCATTAAATAATATCCTTTGTCTCTATGTCTCTTGTTTCTCTATTTTACATTTTTCCTTACACTTTTTTTTTTCTATTACAAAAATTAAAGCTACTTTCAATCACTTTTGGATACTAAAAGAAAAGAAACAGATGAACTACGTACAAAAATAGAAGATCTTTATACAAAATTTTTGATACAAGAAGAAACAAAATTGACTATTACCAAACAATTAAATTATTGGCGTTGCAAAGCTTTGTCTCTGGAGGTAATTATTCCTATTTTTGATAATTTTATTTCTTCATTTTTATTTCTAAAAAAATGATATATAATTTTTTTTTTTTTATATTTTAAAAGGCTCAAATATGCGCTGCACAAGCAGAATCAAAAATGGATCTTGTGAATCATGTAGAGCATAAAATCTTGGAAGAATTCATTGATGTCACTCAAAAATGTAATAATGACAATACAGAGATTAAAGAAAAACAATCCACTAATAGACAAGGATTACAAAACTTTGCTCAATCATTTCCATTAAATAATTGTGTTAAAATTAAACATACTTCTTGTCCAATTAAAAATTTAAAAGATTATGAAAATCATAATGAACAAACTGATAAAGAAAATTCTAATCAAAATAATTGCGTAGAATTCAAAATTCTTAAGCCTAAAAAATCATGCAAGTTTGAAGATAATCAAAATGCTAATAATAATAATACAAATAAAATTTTTAATAAACTTCTACACTCTATGGAGAATATAGCGATTGAGGAAAATAAGAACTTATCAAACATCGACAATGAAAAATATCCTATAATTCACATATCTAATTAAATCCAATGATTAATAAACATTTGCTATGTGTTATTGTATTCATCCAATATAAAGAAATGTTTTTTAATTTTTATAATATGATAATAAAAAAAATAATAAAACAATTGTTCTCTTACCTCTGTATTTTCAAATTTAGTAACAAGAACGATATTTCCATCTTTTAATCGACATTCGATATTTTTTGGTATTGTGGCAGTTGGTGCTAATCGTGTAGGAAATTGATAACGTACTTTTTCCATCCAAGATTTTTTTTGTCTTGCCATTGCAACTTCATCTCCTAAAACTCTCATTTTCCACCTAAAGTCATTTACTTCAGAATTTCTTAATGCTGTAAACTCGTGTAATCCTTTGCCAATAAGAACACCAATTCGAGAATCTAAATTTCTATCACTTTTAACACCTTCACGCTCTATAACTTTAAGCACAGAACAAAATGGTTTAATATCGCACAAACGTCTAGTTTCATCTCGTAATTCTTCCGCTTCTGCATTCGAGTTAATACATGAAAATACATAGGACGGAGCATCTTTTAATGTACCGTGAAGAGGATATTTGCTGGCTTCATCCCAGAGATCCTTTAGAAGAATTTATATTGGTATTAATATATTTTTATATTTATATATATATATATATATATATATATATATATAAATTACATTTTTATATATTTTTTTAACCTACCTCTTTAATTTCGGCCAAAGTAATATTGCGATTAGTTTCCAAGGGTATAACGACCCCATTTGGCATTAAACAAGTAAGTTCAACAACTTCTGTGGGTGATTTCGCCCAAAAATTGTAAGTATACGCACTTGGTATATGAACCATTGTGTTAAACGTTTTTGATAATATATAGAAAAATTTAATAAAATACAAAGGGTAATAGTTTAAATTAATCGAAGAAAAACACACGAAATGTATCGTATAGGTCGCATCGTGACCGAAAGTATCCTTTCTCTTTTAAACAATATGACTTCATTGAATCGTTTGATAAGAAGTTGTATGATAAATAAAACGATTATACGATCAACACATTATCTTTCTTCTATGAACTTTTTTCTTCATTCTTATATCCATACATATAATTGTAAATTTTTTTCAGATCTGAATTTTGCAAGATTCTAAATTCAGATTAATTGATGAACTTGCTCGATTATTTAATTATTATCGGTTGAATTCGTAACATTTTGTATCATATTTATTACGTACTTTAATATATAAAAAAATGTTACTTTATTCGATTTGAATCACACAAGTGAAATCCATATAATCACTTCTTTTTATATGTGATAACACTACTCGTCAGCCATTATTTTTATAAATGCATTCTACCCACCTACTTACACGTACATTTATGTACATATGTGTATATCAAAGCAAAATTAGTCTGTTTTTCTATTGGATCTTATTTCAATCGAATTTTATATATATAAAATTATATATACATATGTATATATGTACGCATATATATAAGCAATTTTTTAATTTCTCTCATAATATCTCATAATTCATTTTTTAATATATATTTAATTTAATAAGCTCGTATAATGATGTAATATTTGTAATCCAAAATATTGATCATCGTATTTAATTTCATTATGCAAAATAAAAATATAAATGCATAATAATAATAATAATAATAATGATAATGATAATAATAATAATAATAATAGTAAAGTCCCTAGTTGCCATTAAATTAGAAAAGTTCTAGATGTAGTTATTTGTTGTAATTTAATTTGAGAAAAAAATCTCTAAATACAAATCAATCAATGAAAAATGACTTACAAGTTGCAGAACTTTTGTGTCTTTTACTTTGTCTAACCTGATTGTTACCGATTTATTGGTATGAAAATTATAATATTGTTACTGTATTATCGATCGATTTTCGAGATTTGCAATTTTACGACGTATATTACGCGTATGTGATTTATATGCGGTAGAATTGTCAGTAATCGTATGTATATAATCAGTAATCAGTAGTTGAATAGAAGGTACAAATCTCGCGAAGCTATACATTATCGCTTTTCATATTATTTCGTTTGTTGAATTTTTAGGTATCAATGTTTAAAATTTGATTTGTGTAACCTCTTTTTCATATAATTATTGTACCAAAACAAATATAATAAGATGTAAAGTTTGCGAAGAATTGACTTTATATAAAGTTTTAATGAGCGGTTTTAATGTATTCATAACAATTCTGACAAATGATTTACAATTACAGTGAATGACAACTTGTGCCTACTACTGTAATAACGGTAACTTTCCTAACGTTTTAAAAGAAAAAAAAAAAAAAAAAAAAAAATATTAACCGTAACATTATCACGCGTAAGTATTTTGCATTTTCATATATTACTTTGATTCGATCATACTTAATAAATCTCAGAAAATATATATGAGATATAATATACGTATGTTATACATGTACAGTTGATATATTATTATATATATATTATATTATACAACATGTTGCTTTAAATGCGTAAAATAATTTTAGTAAATTTAAATGTAATTTTTTTATAAATTTTATAAATTATTTTGAAATATTTATTTCGAATATTTTTCCTTAGTAATTTATTGCAGGTGTCAATAATTGTTAAAAGAAAATCAGGATCATTATATTAAGTATGTTTGGGCAGTCTGGAAGTACATCGTTCAGTAAGTAAAACAAATAATAACTTTTTAATCCATTTTTTTTTATATAAATTAATTACATATTATTATAATTAATTTATTATTAAAGGTGGTTTCAATACAGCTACACAATCCAGTCCATTTGGACAGTCGGCATTTGGTAAACCAATCACTACAACAAGTTTTGGCACTGGTGCTGCACCAGTCTTTGGTAGTAGTAATACTTCTCTCTTTAGTTCAAAACCTGCGAGCTCTACTACTGGTGGCTTATTTGGTAATACTACAACTCCACCTGCATTTACTCAACCATCTTTTGGAGGTAACAATTTATAGATTATTTGATATATTTGGTAAAATATATTTTATATAAAATGCTTAATAACATAAGTATCAAAATTTTAATGCAATCTTTTATTGAGTTTTTCAACAAGATTTGTTAATTTTTAAAATTAATGTTCTTCAATAGATTAATACAACAGGAATAGCAAAAGTTTAAATTTTGATATTTTTGCTTATATTTCTATTTATTAATTGAATTTGATTTATGAAATCAATCAATTGCATATTATATATAGTTTTAATTCTATTTATTTTTAAATTGTTCATAGTTTTTCAAAAGTTGATTATATTATATTAGATTAGATTAATTAAAGAAGTAATCTTTATTTTTTAATCAAAACTAATATTTTGAGATATTTATATATATTTTATTAGAAATATTTAATTTAATTTCAATTTTAAAATATATTGTATCATTCTATTATATATTAATAAAATATTATTGTATTATTATTTTATTATTATTTATATATGTATAAAGTGAAATATTTTTAATATAATGTCTAAAGAAAAAAAATTAGTCTTATTTAAAAATCTTTTAAATTTTTAAAAATGAGAATATAAATAAGTGATTATTAAAGTTTTAGTATTATCAATGAAATTATTATTTTAGTTCCTTTTTATATTCCTAATATTAGTTCCTTATAAATTGGATAATAAAAAATATAATTGTTTTTTTTTGTCTTTTTATAGGGTTTGGCACAACAAATACCAATACCAATTTATTCGGTACTCAGCAAAATGCAAGTACAAATCTTTTTGGTACAAGTACGGCAACTTCAGCATTTGGTCAATCAAACAAACCGGCTGGATTTGGTTTCGGCGCTACATCTGGAACAAATTTATTTGGACAACCTCAACAGTCAACTCAACAAACTACTCCTTTTGGACAAAGCAGTACTACTGGAAATACTAATTTATTTGGTACAACACCTGGTATGTCCATAATATTTAATCATATTATTATGATAAGATGAATCTATGATAAGAAGAATCTATTCTTTTATTATTTCTGCTTTGTTTCTGTTTTAGGTTTTGGTAATACAAATACTACAACCACAAGTATGACCGGTACCGTTGTTAAATTTACTCCTGTGATTACTACCGATTCTATGTCCAAGAATGGTATATCTCATACTATATCGGCGAGGCATTGGTGTATCGCATCAATGAAAGAATATGAATCAAAATCTTACGAAGAGTTACGTTTTGAGGATTATTCTGTGGGACGAAAAGGTAATCTTATATATCAAAATTTCTGACAAAAAAGATTCGTATTTTATATTGTACAATTATTTATCTTTCTTTCATTTGATGATTAGGACCTGGTACAGGAATTTTTGGTACACCAGCACAACCTTCACCTTTTGGCAATGCAGGGGCAGGTACTAGTACTGCGACAACGGGTAATCTAATGCAAATTAGTTATTGTATACGTATTAGATATTGTATTTTAAGATTTAATGGTTTTAAAATTGAATTATTTTTATTATTTAATTTTTCCTTCTAATATTTTTTTTTTTTTTTTTTTTTTTTTTTTTTTTTTTTTTTTTTTTTTTTTTTTTTTTTATCTTAAATTAGGTTTTGGTGGAATAAGCGGAGGTTTTGGAGCCACCACACAATCTGGTTCAAGTGGCTTATTTGGAAAGCCTATAACAAGTTTCGGTACACCAGCGACAACAACAACAAATAATTTCGCTTTCAATTCTACTCCAAGCACAAATTTATTTGGTAGTAATACCCAGAAACCTTTTGGTAGTAAGTATCAAATTCATAATTTATCATTAATAATATTGATTTCAATATACTTAGCATTATTTTATTGTTTCGATATATCGATATATGTAAAGACATAAAAATTATATCTTTTTGTAAAAATATAACAGTTTATTTTTATTTATAGCAGCAGCTCCAACACCACTTTTTGCAGCCAGCAATACTAATCAAAATACTGGTACAGGTTTCGGTATCAATACGGGACAAAACACTAGTTTCGGTCCTACATTTGGTTCAACGCAATCGAATCAGGTAATGCAAACAAGAAATATTTAATAAAAATTCTATTATTTTGTCCATGACTGCATATTAATATTCTTATTTATTCTTATTGTTTTTTTTATAGAGTATTGGTTTATTTAATCAAAATAAATCGGCTTTCAATGCACCTTCCACTTCGTCTAGCGCTGCATTCTCTAATTTTGGTCAAACACCATCGAGCAATACTGGTACTAATTTATTTGGTGCCAAATCAACTGGAACAATTGGTTTTGGAACGACTTCGTCTTTCGGCTCGACTACACCATCAACTTTTGGAACTACAACAGGTTTCACTGCAGGTCAAAATTCCGGTGCTTCATTGTTTAATACACCTTTTAAACCTACAGGACAAACACCTGGATTCTCTTTTGGTTCGACTTCTACACCATCATCCGGACTTGGTAAATTTATATATATGTATATTTATTTTATTATTAGAATTAAATCAATATATTAAGCCTTTAATAGTTTACATTTTTATTAAAATTTTTTTTATTTATCATTTAAACATTTTTCTTATAAAATTTTAATTAATATTTTATTTAATAAAATATATCTCATAAAATGATCTCACTCTTTTTCTATCTGTCATAAGTTGTTTTCAACAAAACTGATGAGAGAATATAACATAATAAAGCATATATAATAAATAAAGCATAATAAAATAATTTTCCAATTATATGAATGATATAAATTTATTTTATATTATTATATTATTTAATTTAGGTACAAATACAAGTTTGATGTTGGGTAGTGGTTCTACTTTATTCGCTCAACAAAAACCAGGTGGTTTATTTGGAAATACTGGTAACAATGCAACATTTAATACAGCGGGGACGTTCGGATCTTCAACATTTGGAACTAATACAAACGTAGGAACGGGTATTGGAACAGGATTACTTGGTGCTGGGTATTATATCAAATTTTTTATTTTTGATTTTTATCGTGTATATATATAAATATCGAAATCTATTAAAAAATATATTTTCATTTTCAGGAGTAATATTAATCAAACAAAGAATTCGGGGACGGTACCAGTGCATCAACAAATTTTGGCTTTGGTGTCTGCGCCATTTGGAGATTCACCGTTATTAAAAAATCTTTTACCGGTAAATTATTTTCTCATTTTCGCACTATTTCTCTAATTCCTGTATTTAACTTTGAAAATAATTAAAATAGAAATGTATAAGAGAGCGTCAAAAATAACTTTTACTTTAAAGAACGATAGAGCAAGAGAATCTAAAAAAAATATCGAGAGATGATACGGGAAGAGATCAGATCAGATCAGATTGGATCGGGAGTAATTTTTAATCTAGAAAAATATCTCATAATTCATGAAAATTTTGGGATTCCTGAAAATACGAGGATTCTTAAAAATTTCGAGAATAACATTTTGAAACTATACTTATTTATATGATTAAAAAAAACAATCAAATTTCTCAGGAATCCCGACAATCTTGAATCACTTGAGGTATTTTCATTTTGGAAACCCAATTCAATTCGATATTTTTGCATGTTTCTAAATTTTAAGTGTTTCACGTTTGAATATTGTATATAATATGATATAAATATAATATAATTCTAGGCTTCTGGTAAAACAGAAGAGTTACTAAAACCGGCGAACGCACCTTCTAAACTGTTAAACGGTCCACAATATAAAGTTACTGCTGATAATAAATCTCCGAAAATCAAAGTGACTTTTAAGGTAAAATCTTTATATCACGGAAATTTTTTTAAATAATTAAAATATATCGAATATTTATAACGAATTTTTGTAGAAATCAATATTCGAAGGTCTTGAAGAGGAAGATCCACTTTCGGAAGCGTTTCAACCTCGTCCAAATGCAAAGCGTTTAGTGTTACGTCCAAAATCGATATTGAATTCAATAGTTTCGTCACCTACTGAAAATTCTCATAATGCAACGAAAAATTTACAATCTTCTGATAAAGGAGAAGAGAGATCATCCATGACGAATTCATATATCGAAGATACAACTATCGAAACTATAGATAAAGAGAATCATAGTCAGGATAATAATCGACAATTAACAAATGATCGAAGATCATCTTCATCATGGTTGAAAACAAGTCTTCCACGAAATGCGAATGCAAAAAATTTAAACGAAGAATCATTCGACGGACAACGTTCATTGCTCTCTAGTCCGAACGTATTATCCGAAGAAATGATAAACAATACAATTAGCGAATTGCGACCTTATGCTAATGCCAGTCCATCAAATCAAATATGCTCTGAAATTAATACTTCTGTGGATACGTCTATAAAGAATTCGTCTCTCGTCGATAAAACGGATATTGTGATTCGAAATTCTGATTCGAGTCAAGAATTAGATGAAAATTCTTTTTCAACGTTACAAAATTCTAATGGGAAAACAAATGCAGCAAAAGTGACGTTGACACGTGTTGGTTATTACACAATTCCATCACTTGACGAATTACACGAATATGTTGATGGTGAAAAGTGTATCGTACCAAATTTCACAGTTGGTCGCGAAGGTTACGGAAATGTATATTTCCCTGAATCATTTGATATATACGGTCTCAATTTAGATGATATCGTACATTTTCGACGCAAAGAAGTTATCATTTATCCAGACGACGAGAAAAAACCAGCTATAGGGCAAGGATTAAACCGTAAAGCACAAGTTACTTTAGATCAAGTATGGCCACACGATAAATCTTTACATAAAGATATTACCGATCCCTGTCGGTTATTGGCAATGGGTTATGAGGAAAAATTACGAAGAGTATCAGCAAAACACGATACCAAATTTTTAGAATATCGCCCCGAAACTGGTTCTTGGGTTTTTAAGGTAATATTCGAAATCAATTTTATATGGTTTCATAATCTCATATTTGCTTTCTTATTGTAATCATTATTTTTACTTTATACTTATCGTTTAGGTAGATCATTTTTCTAAATATGGTCTAAGCGATTCGGACGAAGATGATAATAATGTCCCTACAGTGAATGATACAAAAAGATTAAAACTGAGCACCACAACTCAACAGAAATGCGCGGCTAAGCTGGAGCAGCCAAAAGCTTTAGTGAGATTTTAATTAAAATCATTTAATTATTTACAGAAATTATAATGAAATAGAAATTTTATTATTTATTATATTTTATTATTATATATATATTTATATAAATATAAATTTTATATTTATTATTTAAGTAAATGCATTGAGATTTAATAAATGTCGAATAAATTTTTTATAGGATATAGATCATAATCAGGAAAAACGATTACCGATAAGTCCAACTGGTGATAGTGCTCGCATTTTGGGTACCGACAGTCATAAATTGCAATTAATGAAAGCTAGCTTCTTCGACGGTAGTGACGAAGAGATTTATGATCAAGGTAAAACTTTATAATATATATAAAAATTATATTATTCATTTTCTGATTTTTACAACGAATCTTACAATATATCTTTATTCGAAATTGAAATATTATTTCAGAATCAAATCGTAGATTATTCCTTTCTTCTGGTCATAAAAGTTCTTTGCGAAGTTTCATCAATACTGTTCAAAAAATCGATGAGGATCAAAAATACGAATCAAATTACAATTTGATGTTACGATCAAATTTGACGATTCATCATACACCAACGATTACTTACGAAGAACCAGCACTTTCAAAGTTAGGTAATTTCAGATTAATAATAATAATATAAAATGAATATTTTATGCATTTCGAAAATTAAAAAAGAATCGATTTATATTATAGATTCTAAGATGAAACGCTCGATGGATATTATTGCTAAAAAATCATCGATATATGAAAAAGTTTTACCGGATCCTTCGATTTCTCCTGTGATTATAATTTTTAAATGGATTTCTGAAGCCGTTCCGTTATCAAAGTCTATTATACACAAACTAGAATCTCGTTCTGTTGCCGATATGGGTAAAATATTTTCATTATAATATTTTTGTATGTTATTATAATATTTTATATATGTTATATAACATTTTTTTGTATCGTTGTATGTTGAATTTTTTAAATTACGTGGTTAATGTAATATAAATGTGTATTTACTTGTTTACGTATTTATTTAGGCATACAAATGGGAAGAATGTTCAAGCCGAGTTGGGGACGCGGTTTAACGTTACTTACATTGAACACTAGAAAACAAGCTGACGAGATAGCATTAAATAGTCCATTCGAAGAAATTGGATCTTATGTATGTGGTCGTTCCCCAGAAGATACATCATCTGTTGCGATAGTGCAACGTATTCAAATCTTGGGTGGTAACAGAACCGATGATGATCGCGTTAAAATATTCAAGGTAAATTTCACTTTTAGCATGTTGCGTAGAATTAAAAATAATAATATTTGCATTTTTGTTTTTATTTTTTATGAATATTATTTAAGGAAAGCATAGAAGGTCATCTAAAAATTCAATTGTCCCATCGTGTAATGAATCAAGAAGGAGATTGCCCAATTTTTGACGTAGATACAGATGTTAATAAAGCAAGTATGGCTTTACACGCGCATTGTAGTTTAGCCGAAGAATTCGCGGAACAGTTCAGCACAGATTGTTTTGCTTCGTACGTTGCTAATGTTTGGAAACTATGCGTAGCTCTTTGGGGGACTTTACCTGATATAAATGTTGCTTCAGGTATGATTTATAGATAATTTTTATTCACATTTATTTTTTTTTTTCACATTTAGGCTTATATCGTCATCTATTTTTGTTTTCAACATATATGCATATAAAAAATGAAAATTACATGCAATTAATATAAATTACTCGTTTCATTGTTTTAGAAAATCCGAAAGATCATAGTGTCGTAATAGCACGACGAGAGGCTTTCGGGGAATGGTTAAGAAATGTTATACGAAAAACGCTTGTATGGGAGGATATGAATGTTAGTAACGAAACAAAGATATTGCTTTTACTATCTGGTACGTATCATTTGTAACAAAAAATCTCCCGTTATGTTTCACACAATTTTTTAATTCGTTTAAGTTAAATATAAAGTTACGTATAATATAATTATGTTCTTTTTCAAATTTTTCTTTTTTTTTCTTTTTTATTTATTTATTTATTTATTTTTTGTTTTATTTTTTTACCCGCCGTCGGTGGAAACGAAGCTTTTGAATTAGAAGAGGCATGTAAAACTGCGCGAGAAGTAGGCGATCATTGTTTGGCTTTATTAATGGCACAATTATGCAGTGGAATGCCTATAAAGGCATTAATAAAGCAACAAATTGCATTATGGCGACGTGACCACGTTGATGAAAAAATCTCGTTAGATCGATTAAAACTTTACGCATTGATAGCGGGTGAACCACTCGTGCCCAGTAAACATGGTATTATCAATGTCTGCGAAGGTTTCGACTGGAAGAGAGCATTAGCTGTTCATTTGTCGTAAATATCATGTTTTCTAAAGCGATGCAACGTATCTTATAGCTTTATTAAATTATTAGAATGTATATTACGCATATTTATTGTAGGTATTTTTCATCTCCAACTGGTTCGATAAGAGATATATTAGATCATTACGAAATGTCTTTCGATACAAGTGATTCGTGCGCTTATACAACTATACCGAAACCCGAATACAAAGGAGATGATTACGAACTTGAAATAAATAGTGGAAAATCAATATACGATCTATGTTTTCATCTATTAAAATTATTTTGCACTGGCAATCATACATTAGGAGAACTATTAAATCCAGCAACGCATACTGCCGATCCATTGGATTACAGACTCAGGTAATCGATCGATTTTTTTTTTTTTTCAATTTTTCAATTTTGGATAATAATTTCAAATGGTTCAATTTGATTACAGTTGGCTGATGCAGCAAGTACTTTTAGCTTTGGGCTATTCACATCTTTCGGAATATGTTGCTACTTTAACACATGTTAATTTTGCAACGCAATTAGAAGCACACGGTCTTTGGCATTGGGCTATATTTGTGATGTTGCATTTGAAAGATGCCGGAAAAAGAAAAACTGCGGTAATGAATTTATTGCAACGTCACGTTGAAATAGACGAAATCGCTGATTCCGTCGATCCTATCGAGAGAGAAAAATTTTTACGGGAAGAACTAGGTATACCTTCAATTTGGATTCATCAGGCTAAAGCCGTGAAAAGTTACGTAGCTAAGAGGTTCGTAAAACTTTATGTATAATATATTATCGATAACGGTATTCTACATTTTCATTATTTCATGCGTTTATGCGTTATGTTCCGAATTATATGTATATATAAAAATAAAAAATTTTTTAGAAATTGTTCCGGTGATCCGATGATCGTTGATCCATCATCATTATTAATCCTTATCGTTCTTATAAAATTTTGAATTTTCTTCTTTTTTTATTTGCAGGTACGGAAAAGCAGCTTTTTATTTTATTCAAGCGGAACAATGGAACAGAGCTCACGAGATTATCATTGAACATTTAGCAGCGGATATTATTATAAACGGTATGTTTTCGAAATAGATACTTTTGACAATTCTTATGCAATTTTTATTCTTCCTTTTATTTTCAAACTCTTTGTTATCTTTTATTTCTCGCTCTATTTATATATATTATTCATATTCAGAAAATTACGATTATTTGCGCGATTTATTACGCCCGCTGATTCCTTCGGAGTACAGTAGCACTATAAGCGGGTGGACTTATCAAGGACAATTACTTTGGGAATATATGGAAATAACTATGGATGTCGAATCTTTATTACGCGGTGCTGATCCACGCGGAATAAGTTCTAAATTAGAATCGCTAAAACAGCGATTATCAAGTCTTCCATCGAAAATCAATCAATTTCCATGTCCAACTGCTAAACACAGGTGAATAAATCATTATTTTTCTTTCTTTTACTTTATAATGTATTTTGTTATATCATGTATTTTTTTATATCATTTTTATATCGTGCTAAGATAATGCTAAGATAATTATTATACATGTATAATTATTATTTACGACAGGCTTTGTCAAGCGGAAATTGCAAAGAGAACATTACATTTGGCTAGAAGTTTGTTACAATCGAACGAGAATAGATCTACATCGATATTTCAACTGGTATCTCAATTACCATTACCCGAAGATTATGCACAACAGGAACTTCGTCCTATTGTTAATATGCGCGTAAATGAAATCATATATCAAGCAGCATAAATTTGTTTTCTACAGAAATTTATAGGCGATTGTATTAACAAGTAATAACCATTTTCTTACTCTTTTAACCAAAATAAACAATTACATACTTTTATTTTCTATGATTTTGTAGTAATAATTATAATAATGATTTATATAAAAGTAACGATGATTATGATCGTAATAAGTAATCGTAACGAATGGAGCATGTAATTATGAGAATGATAGTGTTAATAATAGTAATAATAATAATATTAATAATAATAATAATAATAATAATAATAATAATAATAATAATAATAATAATAGGATAATAATAATATCGAATAGGATAAATTTATAACTTCTATTATTAAAGGTGATTATGTTCTACAATTTGTTACTTAAGATATTCTGTATTTATAGATATTTAAATAAACGAATGGGAATTGAAAATAGAAGATAGGTATACGCGATTAGTATCGTAAGATTAAGCAGTTATCAGTATAAGTAGTTCAAAATGCGATAAAAATTTTTGATAAATGATCGTTAGGATTCGATCGTTTTATTCGAGAAACATTTTATTAAAAATAAATAATCCGTGTATCATGTTGTATGTATTTTTAAAATGTAAACAGCGAAATACGTCCATATTTTAATACTTAACACAATATTTTAATACTTTTGTTTTGAAACGAATATATCATAGTATATCTTTTATATCTTTATTTCCGTTGTATATTTTTAAAGATAAGAGAAAGTTGATGATGTTTTTTAATGATGTTTACATTTGAAATTAAAAAAAAAAAAAAAAAAAAAAAAAGAAAAGAGAGAAAAAAAGAAAAATTTTGATATGTTCAAGATTTAGAAAGTTGGCATCGCGTTGAAAATATAAATACGCGTTAAATCAATGATACCGAGTTTGCGCATCCGACTCGGTTTCAATCATCTTTGATACACAGATTTTCTTCTCAGCGTCGATGTTGTCGATTCGCTCGTTTTAACTCTTTCGCAAAGAACAGTTTCTTCGCGATTGATGTTCGACCGTTCTCTTCTATAGCCTCTGTTCGTTTTCATATCTAGTAACTTTCACCTTCTATCTTCCCCATTTTGTTATCGTCAATCTAAGCTTCTCTTCCCCTAATTCCGTTTTACCCCCGATACAGTCGTTGCGCCTCTGTTGTCGCCGCTTTCATCGTTGCAGCCTCCATCGCCATCATCCCTACTACATACCACCAGCACACCATCTCCGCTGCTGTCGATGTCACCAACGACACTACTACCATTACCATTAGCTGATATTCGTCTACTACCTACATTCCCGTTTTCAGGGGTGTTGCGAGCACGCGCTCGCACCAACAGAATAGCGTTACTCCCAAAACGTTCGAGTCAACGTAGTAGCGTAGTAAGAGTAATGCGCGCGCGCTAGACAACTAACCAGCCACCTTTGGTTCGAGCATAAAGCGACTTGTACACCATCTTTGCCCGATTTTCATGAGAAAGTGCCATCGAAACGTAGTTATCTCGCGCGTAATAATTAATTTTCTTTATTCGTAAACAACGTATATTTTCACCGTATGATATTTTCGTATATCATATCGTGTAACACGCTCGTAACGCGTGCAAATACTTGATTTTTCTATCATTTTTTCTTTCTTTCAACTCCTCCGTATTCCCCTTCTTTGCATCGTATCCACCCCCTCCGTGCTCTCTCTCTCTCTCTCTCTCTCTCTCTCTCTCTCTACAATTACTCTCTTGTCCCACCCTCGTCCTTCATTCTTTCGGGCTCTCTGCGCGTTACGGTGTGAACATACTTGAGAGATCGCGCGACAAGGCGGTAATCGGTTGTGCAATCGTGAATCGCACAAATGAATTGTGTCGACATCGCATTGAACCATGTCTAATTTATTCGTGAAAAGGAAAATATACGTTGATTTGGGAAGGATACGATAATAAAGAGGAACATCGACTTACGGTCCAGGAGGTGGTTTGACGTAGGATCGTTTTTTTTTCGTTTTTATCTCTTGGTTAGTCGTTCGGTCCTTCGGGCGATCGGTCGATCGGGTATTCATACGCGCGTACGTCGAAGACGATTTTATTTTTCAATTAATTCAATTATTGAGAGAAACTTTGGTTGCTGTATCGTGTAAAATGTTTGCGATCAAGAGAACTGCATGTTGGAGGTGAATTATTACGTGCCGTTAAACTTGAATTAATCGACTACTCTTTTTTTGCTTAAATCTTGATTATTGTCATCGTTTTCGTCATCGTTCTCGTTGTGACCGTCGTGATTATCGTTGTCGTCGCCGTCGTCGCCGTCGTCGTCGTCGTCGTCCTCGTCGTTGTCATCGTCGTCGTCGTCGTCGGCGTTACGTCGTCTCGCTGTCGACGACACATTTGAACAATGATTCGATTTGAAATTGAAAGATAGAGATTTAAAATTCGATTGGACAATGCTTGGCGTAAGAATACGTTTAAGTATTTATGAGAAGAAAACGTTGAAAACGTGCGTAATGAAATGAAAGGGATTTTTGACGTTCAACGACCATTCTATTAGCGTAGTTTCGACCGTCAGGTGTAAAGAAAAAATGTTAAAAGAAGAAGATGAAAGAAGGTGAAGATACATATGTACAAACTTCTACGTACTAGCGTATACAAGCGTTACAAAGTTGTGTGTCAAATAAACGGATAAACAAGATTCCATCGAAACGGTAAATTTTACGCACGTAACGCTGACTCGCGTGTTCCGGCCGATCGATCGCTACTACGAGGGAGCGGTAAGACTAATTTTTTTTTCGAGAAGTTACTTTAAATTAACGTATACGTTTCTTTTAAAAGATTGGTTCGTTCGTTTCATCATTTACTTGTATTCGGGTGTTGGTCGATAGCATCGAAATAATGTTTCTATCCGTCAAAAAATTTGTACACTATGGAGTGTTGTTACTGTTATGGATCAAATCAAGTTATCAGCAAGAAGAGGATATACCTCATAACGAGTAAGAATCATTTTTTTTACACATATTAGGCATAATTCTTAGGTTTACGATTAATTTAGTTAATTTATCGAAACTAGTAGAATTTAATATACAAAACGATTGATTCGATTAAGCCGGTATAAATAAAGTAAAAAAAGTAGAGAATAGAAGAGAAAGAGTGGGTAGAATATCTTAAGAAAAAAGTATCTTGGTTTCGTTTAACAATACTCCATCGAGCATCCCCCTTATTTACATATTAAGTAGCATAGTAATTGATCGAACGCAATTATCAATGAAAAAAATTAAAATTAAAAAATATGGAACGTGGTTAGGGGATGAAAAAAAGGTGAAAAAAATGTGATGTTACAGCGTGTGATACAGATATATCATATATATTTGTTCGCGTGTTTCTAATTTCTGATTTATACCAACCAATTTTCAATAATCGTGTACAGAAAGAAACGAGAATTGGAAAGAACGCAGGCGCGCGTAGAGTTATGCGTACACAGTCGATTAACGAGGATCAGAATCGGCGTGTATGCGTACGACCTACGTGCGTGCGCACGTGAGCATGCACGTAACTACGTACATAGGATTGCATCAATGGTACTAATTTACGCGTTAAGATATATAACGTATAAAAGGTGATAGGCGGAATAATCGTTGATTTTCGTTGAAACGGATCTATCTATCGGATCAATTGTCTTTATTTTTGCCAAATTCAGATCCAATTAATTATAGATCGATCCAACAATATTGCTTTCTTCCCCATGCGTTTAACGATATATATTTACAATTATTTATCGATATTTATCTTTAAAATTAAAATTAAGTTAATTTGCATTTTTTATTCTTTATCCTTGTCCTCTAAATGAAGAAAATAAATGGAAAAACATTCTTTCGAAGAATTTTTTTTCGAAGAATCGAAGAAAAGATAAATTAAGGGTTTCGAAAGATTCGTATCACGGAATAAATGATTATTCTTATTACATTGCAGAGTGAAAAACTGGGCATTGAAATTTGGAGTGGATTTATGGGAATTTGGCAGACAAGTTACGAAAATGAGTGAAATACAAAGGGTAAGGAAATTGCTCGTGAATAGATAACACGACATATCTTATATTCTTAATCGTTATTAATTTGAAATTAACAGTTGAATTAAACGTTCGACATTTATTTCGTTATTACGTATATCCATTGGTAAAAATCTTCGATATTTATCAATTATTATTTCGATAGAAAATTAGCGAGTTATATATATATATATATATATATATATATATGTATACACGTTGGAAAGAAAAGTAAAATTGACAAATATAAAAATAATACGATATATGAAAAACTCAACTTTGATCGTAGAAATATCACGATATGGAGGCCGAAGTTGTAAAAAAAGATGGTGTCCTGTTAGTACGAGAAATGGCTGCGGAAGTGAAAAACATGTTAGATTTTAAAATGAACGCTGTTATGGTAAGAAAGTGAAATTATCGTATCGCGAGAAACGAAATACATCTGTCATGTATTATTATGGTATTAATTAACGCGACGCAATTGTAGAGATTGGTGGAGAGCGCCGAACAAGCGGCTGTATCGGCACCCAGAGACGGAAATGTAGCACCAAAGTATTACGCTTCTCAACGTTTCGACTCTTCTTCAGGAGAAGGAAAAGCATCGATAACCGTACAAGAAACTTTCCTTTCATCGAATCGACATTTCGATCATTTAGCCGTAAACGTTACACTTTCCACGGTTTTATTACCGGACGGAGTGAAACAAATTGGTAATTAAAAAACAAAATTGCATATATAATTGATAAAAAAGACGCGCAAGTTTAATATTTCCTTTCTTTCAGATCGCGAAGTAGCCGCTGGCATTCAATGGAGCGAATATTTGGACTTATTGTTCGTTAATAATTACGAAAGCGATTCTTCGCTTTCTTGGCAATATTACGGCGCAACTTCAGGATTTTTAAGACGTTTTCCCGGTAACCAAATCCAAGATTTCTTTTCTCCTTCACTTTCGTTAATTTCAACTCTGTCGTTTCGTCACCATAGCATTTTCTCTTCTTCTCTCAGCAATTTCCTGGCCACCCGTCAACGATCGTACTTTCGCTGCGGACAAAAGTCGAGCTATTCGAGATGTATACGAATTTCGAATTTCCGATTGGTTCGTCGGAGCCGCAAATAGCCCCAAAGATTTGGCCATATTGATCGATATCGAGTGCTACGTATCGGAAAGGAACAAACGGCTAGCCGTAACCACGGTCAAAACTATCCTCGACACGTTAGGTCCGAACGATTACGTTAACGTTTACCGTTACGGAGACACCGCAGAGGAGATCGTACAATGCTTCAAGGATAGTTTGGTGCAAGCATCGCCGGAAAACGTGCATGATTTGAAAATAGCGACGAGTTCTATGAAACACGAAGAAATACCGACAAATATATCCGCTGCTCTCGCGACTGCTTTTGAAATTTTGCACAGATACAACAGAACAGGGCAAGGAAGCCAGTGCAACCAGGCGATCATGTTAATTACTGCCGACAATGCCGGTTTACCAACAGAGGTGATAAAACGATACAACTGGCCTCATATGCCTGTTCGTATCTTCACATATCTAATTGGCGGTGACAAAAGTCCGGAATTACGCAACACAGCATGCGCCAACAAAGGTAATCCTACTTTTCTTTTATTTCTTTTCTTCCTTCTTCTTTCTCTTCTTCTTCTATCGACCAAAATGTACAATTTTACAAAATTCGTTCGATATCATTCGAATCGTATTTATACACGTAATTAGGATTCTATGCAAGGATCACCGAATTGGAAGACATTAGAAGCAAAGTCTTCGAATACGTAAAGGTGCTTGCTCGACCTATGGTATTGTATCAACACGAGCACCCTATTCATTGGAGTCCGGTTTACGTCGGTGGAAAGGTGTGCAAATCAAAGATTCTCATTTTTAATCGTTTCCTATATATTATTTATTATTTATATTAAAAGCAACTTTTCTTTCCGTTTTAGAGCAGCAGATATGGCAAAGAGAATATCGGACAGTTAATGACGTCGGTCACGGCGCCTATTTTAGATCGACGAAATTATACGGTAATCAAAGCATTATGTCCGATCGTTTGCAATTATATTTTTCGATACATTTTTATATACATTCAATTTCAAATACTCGAAGACGCATTATAAAGTACGTGTAATCATACATCTCGCAATTGTAATATCATAATCACGATATCGCAGGTGAAGACAGCTAATTTATTGGGTATCGTCGGCACCGATGTACCCGTAGAAGAGATACAGAAATTGGTTCCCCCTTACAAGGTAAGCAAAAAATTACAAGGTATCATTTTGCTTTCAAATTAACGATAATTATAATTAATTTCCATAACGTCGATTTGTGCAGTTAGGTGTCAACGGATACTCTTTTATCGTCGACAATAACGGCCGTGTTTTATATCATCCGGATTTGCGACCATTGGTGAGTAGCAGTAAATTTGAACAAAAGATTCGCCACCTTAGAGAGAAATTCATTTCGAAATGAATCATTTCGTGATTTCACTCATCGTTTCGTTTCTTTCTATCGACGCAGCCGGGAAACATAGACGTAAGTACATACATGTAATATATACCAATTTATAAACGCATATATGAAAATATATTCCCTCCGTTGTAGTACGAGGAAACGTTAAAACCTACGTATATCAGCGTTGACTTATCGGAAGTCGAACTCGCCGAATATGACGGCCCATTACATCCATTAAACAATTCTCTTCTTCTCGACGTAAGTGTCTCAATTTATTCTATCGTTTCGTAAATAGTATCGTTCGCATATTTGCTTGGGTTGGGATCGATACGATTCTTATTATTTATTATTATCGTTCGGCTTATCTTCGTTCTCAAATGACACGAGAAAAAGGAAGACAAACGAGACATAAACGAGATAGCAAATCGTAAACTTAGGTTCTTTAGGAAAGAATAGAAGCGTGATCTCGCTTTGTCGCTAAACTATTTCGAAGAAACATAAAGGATTTATAGCGTTTCTTTGCGGAATTTCATTTTGCAAGTTTGAAAAAACGAATCGAGAATAACCTTATCTCGAGCCAATGTTCGAGCAATACCTTTTTTCTTATATGTACGTGTATGTATTTATGTATTTGTCCTATTTTTTTTTTTTTTTCTATTCCACGCATTGTACAGTTGAGGCGCGATATGATCGATCAAAAAGAAGGAGAGACTAATTTTGCGATCAAAATTCACTACGATAACATGGTGAGTGAGAATGATATTTTTAGCCCGCTCCTTTTTAAATTCCTTTATCTTTTAACGCGTATATAGATACATTTTTACATTTACAACAAAGAAGAAATCAATTATTTAACGTAGATGCATTTTCTTTCCGGTACATGCACGCAGAAACGTGTCACCATCAGACGTCACAATTATTTTTATAAATCGATAGAAGGAACGCCATTTTCATTGGGATTAGCGTTGCCCGAAGGTTACGGTATGTTTGAATTGTTGGCCGAGCAAGAAATCAAGCATGCGATAATAAATGGTAAGTGAAACGATCGACGTATCCATCGATCAATCGGAATCATCGAGTCGAACGGATTTGTCTGATATTTTCAGTAACCGAGTATTTTAAGGGGAACAATTGGAAGGTACATCCCGACTGGGTGTATTGCGAATATAGTTCGGCTTCCGAGAAATGGTTTCCGTCCCCGGAAGAACGCGTTCTACATTTCTTGACGCGAACGCGGAGCCCGGGATGGAAATGGATGTCCTTGAGGCCAAGGAGTCCAAGCTCGCATCACAAACAAGCGAGCAAACCCGACAAAGATGCTTATTACTGTATGTACTTGTCACGTAGCAATGCTATGATTGCGCAATATCGTATACGATTCAAAATAACGATATCTGTTATTTACCAATGTATCATCGATGATTTCGCAGGTGATAAGAAATTAGTGCAATCCCTAGTGTTGGACGCGTTGGTCACCGATGGTTTCAACAAAAGAGGTGCGATGCACAAAGAAGAAAATCAAAAGTAAGTGGTTTGCGTAAGTGGAAATCGCGGATGCATGTCCTCCATGCGCGGATACTTATATATACATATATATATATAGTGGAAATACATATTGACAACGCACCGCAATGCACAAGCAAGCACGCGGTTTTTTTTTCACGCACTGATTGTCGAATAACTTATGTATATTATTGGATATGATAAAACCGCTGCCTCTACTTTTCCCCTGCCGTTGATTCGCATAATCGTGTGGCGAACGAAATTCATCCTTTGTTCAAATCGAAATCGAAAAATTGTGAAGCGATGAAAGAAAAGAGAGAGGGAACGAGTGAGATTAACGTCGAAATGTCATCCGTGAAACGAGTCAAGAAGGAGGAAGGAGAGTAGGCTGACGATCACGAGGAGCGAAAGAATCGAGGAAAGATAATAGGAAGAATGGAAGAAGAGACGAAATAAATTTTTTTACAAATTCTTTCTAATTCTCTCTCTTTCTTTCTCTCTCTCTCTCTTTTTCTCTTTTTAATTAATATCCGAAATATATCCATATATGTTTTTCGTTTCAACGCGACACGTACTATGCGCAACGGCCAATCTCTTTCATTTAAAATGCTGTCTTTTATCGCATATTTTTATTACATTTTATATTGTGTGTCTCCACCGCTAGCCCTATTGCCATACTGATGGCTCTACTGCACAGGTAATCCATTATGCACAATTATTTGTATAAGCGCACTCGTCGATATTGCACGGTGATCTTTTCCTAAATGTCGTTTTAATCGTTGATCGTTACAATACATATACACACCTATGAAAACTTTCCTAAACGTCCGATATATCCTTATTCTTATTACCTTAGTATTTTTCTTTCTAATTTTCTTTTCAATAAACGAGCAATAAAATCGACGAATAATTTCGACGAAAACTATCGTAAAAAAAGATACTACGGTATCGAGTATTGTTATAATCTATCATTTCTTCTTCCTCTTTTTCTTCCTTTTTTTCTTTTTCTTTTTAACTTTGCGAAAAATTATCAAAATATTATGTGAAAATATTAAAATAAAATATCGAATCGTTACGCGATTTCTTCATATTCATCGTCCAATAGATGAAAAGAACAATATCTTGTGCTCTTTTATATATATATATATAAATAATTAATATGTATTTATATATATAAAATTTTCTTACGTCGTGTCATATTTTATTATTTGTTTCATTACATTCCATACAATTAGTTTCATGTTTACAGCCAAGGAACGAGTACATTTGGCGTAACACGGAGTTTCATCGCAACTAGAAGTGGCTTATTTCGTTGGCACGAGCATCAACAAACCGAAGATAACACCGATGAATCGTAAATATTAAGTGCTCGTCGTTGAATCTTCTTATTATTAATTTATATTAATTACGCGTGTTTTTATTTTTTTTAACACCGTTACTCGACCCGATATCGAAAAAGAAACATTTCGTTTATTCAGACCATTTGCCGAGAAATATGCAAGAGCTATGGATTCCTCGTGGTATAAACGCGCTGTGGATCAACACTCCATAGAACCGGATAGTTTCGTTTTCAGCGTACCTTTTAACGCCGGTACGTCCATCCTTTGTCTAATCATTTTTATTTATATATAATTAAAAATATTTTTGAAAATCGTATTTCTAACTACCATCATCTTTTTCTTTCTCTTCGATCAATTATCCAAATGTTTTTCACATAGCGGACAGCCCCAATCCATTAGTAACCGCTACTCACGCGGTTTTTATCGGGACAGGACACAAAGCACCAGCAGCTGTCGTAGGTTTACAGTTTCAACATTCTTCACTGGCCTCTCGCTTCGTCAACATTACTTCGACGGTAAATTTGTGTCTGCCTATCCATTCGTTATTTCTAATTTCTTTTCATTTATTTCGAAATAAAACAATTACGAACGAACGAAAAGACGAGTTGTTCAATAAACAATTTCCATTCATCTTTCAGTGTAGTGGTACGAATTGCAAGAAAAATTGCGCCTCCGACGCATTAGATTGTTATATCTTGGACAATAACGGATTTATCATAATCAGCGAACGTCACGAGCATACCGGAAAATTTTTCGGTGAGATCGACGGCACTATAATGGATTCCCTAGTTCAGGACAGAATCTATAGGTATAAATCTCTAATGTTCGAGTGTATAAAAAAACATAAGAACAAAATATTCCAAAAACATTTTGAATGTGTATTTTTTTTTATTCGTTAATTGCAGAAAAGTAACAGTGACCGATTATCAAGGTATATGTAATCCACAAGAATCTTATCAATCATCCGCATCGAGGACTTTCTCGGAATCTATCGCGAAAACGATCGCGATATTGGGAAATTTTCTTTGGAGCATGGCATTTGGCTTTAATTTTCAAAATTTATGGCAAGTCGCATTCGCATTCGCCGGTGAATCCGTGAGACCTCTGGATGGTAAGAAATATAGTTTATCTTTAAGGAGAAAAAAGAATAGAGGGGGGGATGGAAAGATCTTTTTATGATAACATTTTCATTTTGAGATATCGATCGTTACAAAAATAAGAAATATATATATATACTTTTAAAAGATTCGATCGGACAAGTTCACGAATTCGAGTCATTGGCGATAGACGGAGGAGGAGAAGCGACGGACGAACCAATACCGGATGGAAATTTTCCAAGGCTTCTGACTGTTACCGCTGCAACCCCTGTGTCTCCTGGTACAACACGAGCTACATCCACGCATCATTTACGAACAAGGCTAAGATCATGCGAGAAAAAAACGGATCTTTATATTTTACAACCCGAAAGATTGAATACCAGCGGACAAAGCAATCCGTTGAAAGGGAAATTAACCAATTGTCACGATACCGGTTGCGAAAGGTACGTATATTTACATACGCTAATGATGAAAAATCAATATCTTTATCCGTTTAAAATACAACAATGATAATAATTAAAAAATTTAATCATTATCATAGATAAATTTATCCTCGCTATTTTATATTTACAGGCCATTCAGCGTACAAAAGATTCCCCATACGAACTTGATTTTGCTTGTAGTAGACACGTTGTGTCCATGCGGAAGTAAACAATTGAGCATCGAGCCCATAGAGGCACTGACAGAACCCGGTGCTTGTATCGCGAGAAGAGAACGTTTGTATCGTCGCAGGCCTCCCAAATGTATAAATTATCATCCAGAAGAAATGGAGATCAAATTTTGCGGTAGCGCGAATCGTCCCTGTCATTTCTTCTTCTTATTCATCGTCGCAATTGTTTCGAGCACTCTCGCGTGACTTTGTTCCAATTGACGATTCTATTATACATATACACGCACACACATTTAACGTACGAACAGACAGACGGACAGATAGACGGACAGACGGACAGAGAGAGAGAGAGAGAGAGAGAGAGAGAGAGACAGATAAATATGAATACAGATATCCACGAATTAACGTTTTTGAAAATGAATTTAGCGTTGCCGTTTCTATGAAACAGTTATGAAAATGATATACTAGTTTATCGGTTTAATACCTATATAATTGAGTAATACGTGCATAACAATGAACGAGCGAGTGCACGTGTATATACACTAGGTATATATTCGTACGTGTATGCGTGCGTACATATGTACGTATATACGTACGTGTATATATATATATATATACGCGCGCGCGCGCACACACACACACATACACATATAAATATACATACATATATACATACTTGCATATTTGGAAGGAGGTTTACGCGTGTAAATTACGGTCATACATACAATATAATACGTGTTCGTATGACGTTAATTCACACGTGCACATTCGTGTACATACACGTGCACTCTACGTGTACGTAACAATCACGCATGCACACGCATACGTCTCGATAGGCGTGCGTGTGTATGCGCAAAAAAGAGACGTGTACATATTCAAATACATAATATTAATGTTGATCTATGATTACATATCCCATTATAAATTGTTTTGTTGCAAAGAGATTGTGAATATTTCCTAATCGTATCTAAGTCAGTAACATATGGAAGAAAGAAAAAAAAGCGATAAAGTCACGCGTAATCACGACGCGTGGATCGAGCAGAGTGGAAACGACAATACGCATAAACGCATATTTAAAACGATTTCTTAATAATCCGGCTATAATAATCACGGCGATAAGCACGATCGTTTTTTATCGAGTTATTTTTTTTTTTTTTTTTTTCGACTTAGTCGCGTCAAGCGAGAACTATTTTTTTTATTTATTTATATTACCGAATTTAACCGAAACATTATCGTCGTTTCCATATTTTCCGAGATAACGGAAACACGAATCAAACATTCATCATTTATAAATCACGCGTAAGCGTACGACATATGTATATAAAACTTACGAGTGTGATTAGTTATTATTATTAATGATCCGAGCGCGTACATTGTTCGTCGAAGTAATGGAAATGGAAAAAATTGTATCAAAGCGTTCCTATTTCGTGACACCTGTTTCCTTCATGTTCAAAAGAATAAGCAAAAAAGAAAAAAGAAAAAAAAAAAAAAGAAACGAGGGAAGGGAAAGTTTATCGAAACGTAAGTTATAATATTAATTACATAACGATATCGCGTCAATATATATATATCGATATACTCGCGTTTGGAAATAACATAACGGACCCGCACTCTCGTTTCATCATCGTCATCGAATTTTCGATGTAATTGCCAAAAATATCGATTCTATATTCTCGCTCGTATTCTACTTACGCGTGCGTACGTCTTCTTCAGACGACGATATTACGATAAATGTATCGCACGTTGCATAGTTAAACTTTGATATTACGCTTGCAATTATTAGGGCAAGTATCGATTATACTTTTTTCTTCCTCTTTTTCGAACGTTACGCGGCACGATACACGGAACAACGTTCTACAATTTAAATTCCAAATTATCGCTTGTTACATTAGAGATATAAAAGACATTGGGCAATAGCGTGGAAAACAATAGAGAAACAATAGAGAAGAAAAAGAAAAAAAATATCGGTCGCGTACGAGGCTCGAAAAAATCAAGGATCGACGAGCAAATCGAACGTAGCGTTTTTCTTTTATCAATTTATAAGAAAGAGAAGGTAAAACACAAACGTTTACGACAAAGTATCGATCGAAAGAAAAGTACGAAAGTACATCGAACGATATTTACGCGTCGTCGGTGATAAAACGACCATGTACGCGTTTAGAGATACATACATTATTTGCATACATTCGCAAATATTCGAGTTGGACGAAAATATCTGGATGCAGCGAAAAAAAAATAATAATCGTCACGATAATGGACATAAGGGAAAGAAACGAAAAAGAAAGATCGATAACGCGTCGTCTATGCGAGGAAAAAGTCGTAAAAAACGAAGAATAGCCTAACGAAACGTAAAATAACGAACGAATCAAATTAAATTAAAAGGAATACGTATTCTATTACCACGCGTATATCTCTCTCAGTTTGGTTATCTATAATATCATTTAGCACATTATTATTCGTAAAACGACCGTTAGAGATATAACGCGCTTCGTTCGTTAACGCGTTATAGAACGCGAATCGAGGACGAAGCCACGAAAATAAGGCAAAAGAAAAGTGTCGTTATGAACGTAAATAATAAAAAGGGAAAAAGAAGAAAAAATTTACGAACGTTTTAGATAAGAAGTCGTTTTTTGAACAGCACTTCTAGGTGCTGCTATGTCTTCCATTATTTGTATATTGATAATAAAGTCGGTTACGAATATAAATACACAGCGGTACGCGTACACAAGGCTACGCATACGCATACGTGTATAAGTGTACACGTGCCAAAAATATTCTTAGGTACGTGTATATTTATACGAGGATATCGAACACGATTAAAATTATGTAACTGAAAAATACGGCATAATATTATATAATAAAAGTTAAATGCAAGATAATTTTTCGCTTCGTTATTCTGCCCATTATATAGGTGCTCTATTCCGCGCACCTATATAACTTTTATATATTCAACTCTTTAATCTTTTAACCATTTCTTTTTTTTTTTTTTAACAATAATCACGAACTAATTAAGCGAGTAAATACACATGCAAATCAAATATTTTTCTTTATTTTGTTACATCGTTGTATATCGTTGTATCGATTCGTCATTTTACTCACTTACTCACTCGTATTTATAATTATATTTTTATAAATATTTCCAATACTTTATTTATCGAATAAATTATTACATTGTAATAATTTTATTCATAGCGATAAAATCTTTATTCGGAGAGCAGAAAAGAAAACGTCCGTCCCGTTCCGTGTTCCGAAAGCGACTACGTTTAATCGATACGTATGTAATAACAATCGAAGAAATAAATCCGTTTCGTTCCGTGTTTGGAAAACGACTACGTTCAATCGATTACGTATACAATAACAATCGACGCGACATCGAGAACGCTACAATTCAATACGTTCGTTATAATACTCGTAAGAATATTAATATTTATTTCATTTTATTAATTTATCAATTATAACGACGATGTTTCTTTTTCTTTCCTTTTATCTTACGTTTTATCTTACGTTATACATTTTTAATATTTTAATACTTTTCGTTTTTCGAATAGTTTAATTTTTTTCTTTTTATCATTAATTTATGAGATTTATAAAAAGGTTCAACGATATTTTTTCTTTTTTTTTATTTTTATTATTTAATCATTTCTATTGAATTATAGTTCGAATTATCAGTATCGTAAATCTATTTAATCGTCAAAATTTCGTTATGCTTTTTCTTTCGTAAAAATATCTTTTATACATTTTTGACGAATTTATCGTTTTTTTCACTCTAATTATTCGCTGCGCTTTAATAGTTATAACGATAATAATTAATAACTTTAATTACTATATATTCCTTTTCGATCTTTTCGTTCGTATTTATGATATTCGTTTTAATTTTCGGTACAATTTTGAACGATTTTTTTTTTTCTTCTTTAATAAAGGAATTTTTATTGGAACATAGACGAAGAAAAACGAAAAAAAAAAAAGAAAAATACGATGGAATTTTAATTTCTTAGAAGAAAGATCGACAAATAGATTGAATTTGAAACGTGAATGAAGTAATGGATAGGTAAGCCACTGATAAATGATGCGTCAATAGTCTTCGTTTCGATTCTCTTAGAAGTTTAATTTCATTTTTTAATAAAAATATTTTTTCTAGCGATCGAACGACGGAATACGATTCGAAAGGATAAAAGAAAATAAAAATTAAAAAAAAATCTTGCGAAAAGTATTCTCGAGTACCATAAATAACCGAAAATTAAAAGTTTCCGTCAGAGGAGCTGTGGCTAAGTTGGAACGCTGGTTTTTCCGCACGCCGAAGAACGTAGAGATGGGTTACGTCAGGACCACGTAAGGGTGGGTTACGTCAGGACAACGTAGGGGTGGTTTCCGACAGGACCACGTAGGGATGATTTCCGTCAGGGTCCGGTAGGGATGGTTTCCGTCGAGACCACGTAGTGGAGGGTTCCGTCAGGAACACGTAGGGGTGGTTTCCGTCAGAATGAAGTAGGGGTGGGTTCCGTCAGGACCACGTAGGGGTGGGTTCCGTCAGGACAACGTAGGGGTGGGTTCCGTCAGGACCACCTAGGGGTGGTTTCGGTCAGGACAACGTAGGGGTGGTTTCCGTCAGGACCACGTAGGGGTGGTTTCTGTCAAGACCACGTAGGGGTGGTTTCCGTCAGGGTGACGTAGGTGTCGTTTCCGTCAGGGTCACGTCTTCCGGTGCGCGTTGCATGCGGGAAAGATTGCTCTTACACTCAGTTTTTACTGGTTACGCTAGCACAAGCGGTTCATACGCGTATAATGAAGACGAAATTTTAGAATATTTAAAACAGTGCCTTATTAAAACGGCTGTATCTCCGAAGATATTGGAGATACTTGGATTTTCCGGTGCGCGTTGCAAGCGGGAAAGATTGCTCTTTACACTTAGTTTTCACTGGTTACGCTAATACAAGCGATTCATAGGCTATGGTCGTATAAAGAAGACGAAATTTTAGAATATTTAATACAGTGCTATTTAAAACAAGCATATCCTCAAAGCTAAAAGAAATACACACATTTTTTGGAGTTAAGTGCAAGGGGAAAACATCATTCTTTATAGAGTAAAAATTAAAAATCTGTGACTAAATATAAAAATCAGCTTTGTTTTATACGGTTTGTATAATTTCAAGTTTTAATGATAAGGACGTTGGAAAGGTGTACAAAAAAATTAAATATATAATATTTCTCTATGCTCTTTATATATCAATAATACTAAAATGAATATTAAAAAAAGTCCCTGAAAGTCAAGATTGTTCGATCGAGAAAAAAGTAATTAAAG